GTATGGTGTGAAAAAAACACATCGCCACGCAACGTCGAAGCAACTGTGAATATATTTCTATTACGCATCGGCACGCGTCCAGGTGCGCCCATGTGTTATGTGTCGGTCACGCGGACATCCGTCAGGTACACGTACGCCCACTCCCCACCCCCCTTTACGTACTCACGAGCATACCCAAAAAATGCATTTAAAAAAAAAACAAAAACAAACAACTTTTGCAAATTCAATTTTGAAAAACCATTTTAAAAAGAGCCCCGGACGGGGGCGCCATTCGAGAATTGTATGTACCGCCTTGACAGGTTTGCCCGACCAGGACGACTAGCCATTTGGCGGCTAAAAAAAAAGAAGAAGAAAAAAAAAAAAACTTGCAAAACAGTGCAAACTTGCCGAGGTCGCCTGAACAGTTCAGGTAAAAACAGTGCTCACTGTGTATGGGGGCCACTTTTAACACTTCCCTCTCGCTAGAAGATGTAGCAGCTTTTAATAATAATATGGATGAACGGAGAGATGTGCAACGTTTAAACCACCCCGCGGTGATCATCCCCCCCACTCCTTGTGAGAAGTACATTTTCTGCATTACGTGTCCAAAAAATGGAGGTTGCGAAGATACTGAGTGTCTACAAAATCGCTTTGGTAAGTTCGAACGAGGGAAGTGCCCCACTTTAGAAAATTAAAGTAAGGTAAGGCTGTTCATTTGATGTCAAGAGGAGGAGGGGGGGGGAAAAAAAGAGGCTATTGTTAACGTGATTACTAAACGGTGAGGGCGCATATTTACCTACCCTGTCATTTTACCTAATCGGCGATTATTTCCAACGCGTCGTGTATACACAGTTGGTTTTTTCCCACTTTGTTGTAACTTCGCACTGGAGATTAAGGGGCAGGGTTGGCTGCTTACCCACCGAATGGAGCAATTCTCTTCCACCTCCCTTTTTCTAAATTGCCCAACGTGCGCCGTGGTTTCTTTAAACTGCTATACATATTTTTTTCTTTTTTTTTGTGACATAAGGTGTGTGAACCACTTTGGCGCATATTTCCAAAGAGCGGGTCAGCGGCCAAATCGGCTTCTCCGTTACGACGTGGGATTTTTTCCCACTGGTGAATTACGCATGTGATATAAACATATATTCGCGTACGTGTGTGTTTTTATCCTTTTCACTGTGCGAAGGAGCAACGCGCGTTTTCTTCCTCCCCCATGTGGAGCAACGATGCACGTGTGACTGTTTCCCTTTTAAGCAAAGTAAGTCCCTTTATTGGACATTCTTCTGTCTGCATATTGATATTCCTTTTTTTCCCCCTTTTGATGTTGCGTACACCTGGTGCTGCATACCACGGGGTCGAACAACTCAGCCTCTTGGAGCCAAAGGGTTGGCGACGTTCCTAGGTGGACGTGTTCTCTGTAGCCATCTCCGTTCTTCCCATCATTCTGAAAACTCCTCTTTTTCCGATCACTCCAAATATTTCTGCTTTTTTGGTCATCCCAATTTTTTCGCTTTTTTAAAAGCTGCTTAACTCCAAACCGCTTGAACGTTAACAAAGTTGCATGTGCCAGAAAAAAAAAAAAAAAAAAAACGCCGCATCGCCCAAGTGATCTGCGAATCTGCTGAACAAAAACGTCGCCATTATCAGTCTCTGCCGCAATTCTGCGAACGTCCTTTCCTCGCGCTCTTTCGTTCACACGTGCGACATTTTTTACTCCATTTTGTTACCCTTCTGCTTCATTTGTGCTTTCTTTTTGCTTCCCCCGTACAACGCCTTTTTCGCGTAATCCGTGCCGCATTTTTTTCGTTTCATTTTTCATATCCCTTTCTGTCCCATTTTTTTTCTCTTTTTTTCCCGTTTCCCCCGCTTTTTTCCTCTATTTCTTTTTTTGTCACGCTGCAGCTTCGCCGGTTCGACTCTGCGCCTCCCCCCTCTGCAATAGTCATCACTTCATACAGAGAAGTGACCATCAAGGGGTTCCCCCGTTGCAGCGAATTTGCCGTTGAGCGGTCATGCCACTTGGCTTCCTAGTGGTGAAGCCGAGTTGAGCAAAGGCCAATCGGAGTAAACAGCCCTATTGGTGTTTTCGTCCATTTTTTAATCCCCCATTTGGATTGGTAGCGCTCACCGCACATTGCTTCTCCAGTTTTGGCCGTCTTGCCACACAACAGCTGTGACATAGCTGACAAGGGAGCTTCCTCAGCTGCACGTCCAGAATATCCTTGCTCGTTCTCATTTCCTACATTTGTGTAATTGAGAAAAATTGGGGCAGCCCATTTGGTTGGAGCGTCGTTTTTTTTTGTCTGTCCCCCACATCTGGGATGATAAACCCATCGGTGGAACTCCCGTGGCAACACTCCGAGATAAGTTGTAACCCCGCGGTGTGAACCGTAAGGAGGTTTAACTTCTGCGCCGTTTGCAGTGAGGAGGCAGTCCGATCGGGATTGCCGCCGCCCTCACGCGTAGCAGCGGAAGAAGCAACAGACGCAGCAGCCTCAGCCCTAGCGGCTCATTTTTGCAGACGGCGTTGCTGTCAACCTCCCCTCCACGACGTAGGAACGATGAAGTTCGGAAAGAGCATACGGAGGGAGATGCACAATCACCCCGGGATGCACTACCTGGGATACAAAGGGTTAAAAAAGTTAATCAAACAGATTAGAGAAAGTCAGATGGAAGGAAGGCATACCGAAAGGAAGCAACTGAGTGTGCAGTTCGAAAACATGTTGCATTGGGACTTGGATCATATTGAAAGGACGTTTAGGAAAATCTTTCTTGAAATTAATCGGATGAAGAATGAAATTGAGAAGAGATTTTCTTCTCGCATTTTCAACAATGAAGAGTTAAAAGTGAATAAAAAAATATGTTCGTTTGATAATATACTGGAGATGGTGAAGGAGGGGGGGGTGGTGTCTGAGGAGGTTCTGGATTTTTGCATCCGGTTGAGTCTGCTATCTAATAAATGCAAAGTGATTCGGACCTACGTCGTGTACAATTACGTGGGGTTGGTGAAGATCCTGAAGAAGATGCGCAAGCGATGCGGAAGCGACGCCGAGGAAGAAGCGGAGAAGAAAGCAGACCAACAAGCGGAGCAGTCCGAGAGCCGCGCCCAGCTGGACCACCTCACCTCCGCGTCAGACAAAGTGTCAAATGGCATGTCAAGCAGCGTCCCCATCAGCGTCCCCATCAGCGTGGCGAACATTGTGGCCACCTACTCATGGTGCCTCTCCGATGAGCTGCCCCAACTTATCACCTCAGTGAATATCATCTCCGACGAATTCATACGGCAGTTGTGCAACTCCCCCGTCACGTCGGAGAAATACACATGCCCAATCTGTCTGTGCCTCATTCACGATCCGGTGACTTTAAACTCCTGCTTTCACTCCTTCTGCTGGAACTGCTTAGCCACAGCGATACAGAAGTACTCCATCGATAAATGCCCCTCGTGTAGGACCAAAATTGTTTACGATCGGGATTCTTTCAAAATTGACGGCATTTTGGGTCAATTTTTGAAGAAGCACTTTATGAGCGAGCCAGCTGCAGGGTGGGGTAGCCACCCACGCGATGGGGGACCCTCACGTGGAGACGAGGCGTACCAAGAAGGACCAGAATGGGACGCATCTTTATCCATCACCGAGTGCGCCTTTCAAAACGAGAGAGGACCCCTGGAGGCCAAGAAAAACAAGCTAATCGGGAGAAGCACACGGGGTCGAATCGGTGCGGAGATGTCGACACGTGGCACAGCAACTGTAGTGGAAAGAAGTGCACCCTCGGATGTCGCGGCGCCGGATACCGCTGACCAGGATTTTGCTGAGTCCATTTTATCACACGGCAGAAAGGACAAACCTGATCAGGCTAGAGACCATTTCTTCCCGTGGCACTCCGCCCCTGATGACGGCGAGACGGATCCCTGGGAAGATTTTGACGAATACTTGACCGTTTTGAATAGCGTTGATAAGAATGTGATGGAGGACAGGGGGCGTGAGAGTGACAGCTGCAGCGAGGAATGCCGCGATCAGTGTCGCGAAGGCCGCTTTCCCCAGTCGGACACGACAAAGTTGGGGCCCAAGGGAGGCGCGCCGGACACGTCGTACCGCCTGGTCAGCGACGTCATTAGCTACACCTTTAGCTAATCCCGCGCGGTGCGGCAGCCAAGAAGTGTGATTCGTTATTCGGTTAGTTATGTGGTTTGTTATGCGGTTAGTTATGTGCCTAGTTATCTGATTAGTTGTATGCCTAGTTACGTGACTGCTCGTGTGCGCGCGTGCCCGGAAGTTCAGCCCCCTCCCGAGGGACGGCTTTTAATTTTTTCCAAACATCTCCTGAAACGTTTGTTCATTCCGGGCCAACTGAGTTTCCTCTCAACCACGCGGAGTGTGCTTTGGCCATTCACGTTAGAAAGAAAACGTGGCGCGAAAGTGGTTCAGAAGTGATTTGGAAGCGATTTGGAAGTACTTCCGAATTGGCGTGAAATATGCACTGTGTTGACCCCCTTGGATGAAGTAGCAGCCCCTTTTCCAATTAAGAACTAACAGCTGGTTAGTGCACCACTGAACAATAAATGGTCGGGGGGAGGTACCCGTAAGGGGCGACTGGATTAATCTGGGGGACGCCAGAAAGGTGAATGGGTTGGTCGCAGGTGCAACAGATCGATCACTCTCTCGTGCTATGTCGCTTTGTCGCCCTTTCACTTTTTTTTTTTTTTTTGTTTTTTACTATTCTCCGCAGTTTCCATTTTTCCATTTCCTTGTTCGCACCGTTTGGCTAAGTGCCGATCTAAGACTGAGATCACGTGGACAAACTGGCTAACGGGCAAACGGGTAAACGGGAAAAACGGGTAAACGGGAAAAAAGGCCGAAAGGGCAAATGGTTAACCACCAAACGGGTAAACGGTCAAACGACCAAACCTGCACACACAAGTGCTTTTACACCCGGGTGTGCTTCCCCCCGCAGAGTCTTGCGGGACGGACGAACAGGCCCTTTTGATAACGCGCGGCGCGGAGCCCCTCTGGCAGAGCAGCTAGCTAGAAGGGCGAGGCCTCCCCAGGGAAAAATGCATCCACCCTTGGGGAGTCCACTTCAACGCTCTGCTACCTAGACCCTGAACCCCTCTGCCGCTTCACCCCTCTGCCGCTTCGCCCCTCTGCCGCTTCACCCCTTTGTCGCCCCCCCCGCCGATATGTCCTTCAAACTCAAGTCCAGCTTCTACCAAAGCAGTAACGACCCGTCCGAGGGGGACGACAAAAATGGAGACGCCGTGGCGACCCCGGAAAATATAAGTATGAGGAGAGTGCGGGTGGAACTATACGACGAGGCGATCGTGTATAGCCAAAATAATACCTTCTATAAAATGTCCAACGTACATAACTGCAACAATATGGATTCGTACATCGATTATGTTAAGAGGTCTAACTACACGAGGAGCTACGAGCAGGAGATGATTTATAACGAAGCCCTGAGTCTGTATAATAATCGAAACATGTATATCAGGAAGAAGTACAAAAATGAGTTTTACGTTAATCTGAAAAGAAACTTGCGCCGGGCTCGGTTCTTCGGAGACGACAACGATGATCTGCAGAGGGGAGAAGAAGGCAGGGAGGATGACGAAAGGGGAATGCCCGAACCGATGGACTACACAGAGGAGAGGAACCTAAACGAGTTCATCTACCGTGAGAGGAAAAAGAAGAAAGCCATACTGTTTAGGAAAAAGTATATGGAGATATTTTCCGAAGGGGGGTCCACCGCAAACATAGCAAACGTAGCAAACGCTGCGGACACTGCAAACGCTGCGAACACTGCAAACGATGCGAACACTCCAAACGCTGCGAACACTGAAAACGCTTCGAACACAGCGAACACTGCAGACACTGCAAACGATGCAAATGGGCCGAGGGACACACAGCAGAGGACGCAAATGATGTTGGCAGGATTAACCCATAACAGCTCTGAAACAGGTGGAGTAGTAAAAAAAAATGATAGTTTACTTTCCCAGAACGGAGAAGACGTTGGTCTTCCCCTGCCATCTCCTGCAGATATGCCTTGTGAGGGAAATCGACCAAAGGCAAACATATTGAGCGATTTGCGTGACTTAAACAGCATGAGTGATTCAAGCGGAATGTCACAAGAAGAGGAAACAAACTTCCTAGAGCAATTAATTAAATTAAGATACACCCCAGAGTATGTATCTCAGTTAAGTGATTTGTTCGAAAATCCAAGGACATTGAAGAAAGCTAATGTGAAGGTGTTGAAGTGGCTGGATTATCAGTTAAGTAATGGGTATTGGTTAGAAAGGCTCTCATTATTCCTTCTCGGATTGACTATCGCAATTGGAGTAGGAAATATAGAAACATTTTGGTCCTTGATGTCTACATGGCATGGAGTTATATTTGTAGTGCCATATATCATCTGTTACTGCCTCGTTTGTCATCCCATCCTTACATTCGAGTTGTACATAGGGCAGTTGATTCGGATGTCCTCTCCCTTTATCTTTTATCGGCTCCTAAAGCAGTGTGCTTCTGTCGGATTTTTGATGGTCCTAACGTGTCTAATTAATGGGTATATCAATACCTACCGGACCGCTGCAGAATACTTCATCTATCTTATTAATTCCTTCAAACGGGATCTTCCATGGAAGCTAAACAAGAAGGAAATAGATTTCTGTACCAGTTTTAAGAATGATTTTATCGAGTGTCACAAGTTCAGACCACTGTGCTTCTTCTCTAGATCCATCTCCTCCTGTGTCCCCAACAGCTTAGGAAAAGCCTTCCTAATATATCATAACAAATTTTTCCCGCCCAACTTTTTTTACGATCGATTACTTCACATTGATGGTAGCGAGAACTTGGCTCATATCTTTTCCACTGGAACTTCCTACATCGACAAGGACACCTTTATCTTCCTTTTTGTCTGCAATTTCTTTGTTACTATTTTTCAGCTCCTCGGTTTGACAAACTTTGCCTTTTCCTCCGCTCTTGTTCTGCTCCTCATCGGCTTCCTCTCCATCACGCAGTTTGCCAGCATGTTTAATTTAACCAGCGCCACGCAGGCCTACTTCCACGTCCTCAGTAGGTGACGCGGCGGCGGGAAGCGGCGGCAAGCGGCCAGGGAGTAGCCATTACCGATTAGCGGCTACCGAGTAGCCATTGCGACATCGCGCGGCTGCTTCACAACGCCTGTCTCCGTGCCCCTTCCAACACCGCCTCCGCCCGTTTTACCACGTCACCACTTCGTCACTTCGTCACTTCGTTACTTCACCACTTCCTCACTTCTCCCCCCACGCGCAGAGTCCTGGAAGTTCTCTTACTTGTATACCTACTCGTCTATCTGGTCCCAGTGCGTATCCTTCGCCCTCTACGAGCTGTCTATCGGGATGGGGATCTACTCCTCCCTCGCGACGAAGACGAGGTAGGGGCGGAGGGGGAGGGAAATAGCTCCTCTGGCTAGTCCCCCCGATGGGAAGTTGCCCTATAGGAAGTTACACACACTTCGCACCCTGCACCATCGCTTTGGACACTTCTTTCCCGCTTTGGACACTTCTTCACCGCTTTGGACACTTCTTCACCGCTTTGCACACCGCTCCACCCCTTCCCTGCAGAATCGGAGCCAACTTGGCCTTCGACGGATACGCAATCACCACGTGGAATTCCATCATCTCCTCCCTGATGTTCTTCTCAGCAGGTGGCTTTACGCGGCGCCCCTCAGCCGGGCGGGCCTCAAAGGGGCTGCGCTCAGCAGAGGATATTGCTGCATGGGATAGGCTACCCATCCTGTGAAGCGCTTCCTCCCGTTGCTACGCATCCCTTCAGGCGTCTTCTTCCCTTTGCTAACCATCTCGCTCATCCCCCCCCCATTGTGCTCGCCAGTCTCCGTCATAGGCTTCATCGCGGACAGCATCAACTCCAACTTCGTGGACATGCTGGAGTTCTCGAGGAAGGATTGCTCCTTCATTCTGTTCCCCGTGGGGTTCACGCACCTGCAGAGGATGGAGGTAGGGACAGCGCAGGGGTGGCTTAGCTGATCGGTTGTGACGGGGCCACGTGAGGTGCGCCTCTTCTGACTGAGGTGTGCTTCTTCCCACTTTGGTGTGCTTCTTCATCCCCCCGGCAGAAAACCCTGAGCATGCTCTACTACGGGTCGTACACCATCCTGTCATGTGCCTCGCTAGCCATACAGTGCGAAGTCCTAGTTATGACAATAAGGAACTTCAAATTCTGCAAGAACGTTAAGAAGAGAACCATCATTTTAACTCTCTCCTTCTTCTTCTTCCTGTCTTCCTTCTTGATCTCCAATAAGGATACTAAAAATATCCTCTGGTTTGTGTCTCTTACTATATCGGAAAATGCGCGAGTCTTCGTCTCTCTGTTGATATGTATCATTTTGGGTTGGCTCTACAACATCGATTTTCAATTTCGAAATCTGACCAAGAGGAGTAAAAAATCGAGAGAGAGATGGGAAAAACACCCCATTTGGAGAATCCTTCCGAGAGTTTTCCCACAAGAGAGTAGTTCTATCTGCTTCGGCGTCAAATGGATAGAGGCACAGATAAATCATGTCTCACTAACTCGCTTGCCTTCACCTCGCTCCTATCCACCCCCCCTCCCCCCAACACACACTCTGACAGGCGTCCTCTCATTCAATTCGACCTACTGGATATTGAACCTCTCCATCAGCGTTCTCTTTAACTACCTTCCCTACCACGTGTACGTCCTCTACATTATAAGGCTGGGTATATTCTCGGTGAGCACCCTCGTTGCCATGTACGTGCTGAAGAAGGAAATCAAAACGAAGCAGGGGTACAAGAAGAAACATTTGAGTAATCTTACTTACAAGGTAGGAGAAAAAGAGGAGAAGAGGCGGCAGACACATAAGATCAGTCCTCTTCCCGCGCGGCTACTACGAATTGTTACCAGGGCAGGTGGTAGTCCTCGCTGTGCTACCTCCATCTACTTCTTCACTTTGCTTCCCCCCCCCCCTTCCCCTCAGGAAACCCTCTACATCCTCTACATCGGAAACATCGAAGAATTGCGGATGGAGCTACAACGAATCATCAGCGGGAACGTATTTATGGGGAACATCTCCATGGGCTGGTCCATCTGCATCAAATACATCGGGACGTCCATTTTGCTTTCTGCCTTTATTGAATTTGCAGACGGGATGTTTTATAGCAAAGAGTTGAAAGAGAAGATGCAGCTCATTCCCCAGGGATGGGTCGTCTTCGCGATTCTCTTCTGGGTTTTCACGCTGCTCCTGCTGGTCCTCTTTCCCCTGTGCATCACGGTAATGTGCTCGGGAAGGAAATGGCGCGGTGTACCGATGCTGTGATGTGCCGATGTTGCAGCTCGCGCAAGGTGGAAAGCCGCTCTATATACAGTGCGATATACCTGTCACTTGTGTATGGCCTCCACCCCGTTCGTTACGCAGGTTTTCGAAAAGTGGTGCGCTCAGGAGGACTGCTTCGCGGACTTCGCCCTTCTCCCCTCGAAGCCCCTCAGGGAGATCCACAACTTCAGCATCCTCTCCTATTTCTGCGAATTTACGGGCGAGGGAAGGAAAAAGGGGAGGAGGCGCGCCGAGTAGCGGCGGTATGTGCGCCCAGAAAGGGCCCATCCGAATCGACCCCTCCTAACTGGCCCCTCCTAACTGGCGCATGTGAACACCAACCAAAGGAACACCAATCGAAGGAACACCAACCGAAGGAACGCCAATCGAAGGAACACCAATTTGCGGATTTGCCTCCCAGTGCGGCTAGTGAATAGTGAAGCGGCTGCGATAGTTACAACGTTGGCGGGGTTACCTGTTCCTGTCTCTCCACGTAACTTTTTTTGTTTTTTTTTTCCCATTTATGCCTTCTTCAAATTGGGCAGCGCAGCATAGAGTATGACCCACGAGGGGACGTCACCGGACCTCACCGGACCTCACCCAGATGGCTAATTTGAACATTGACATGGACGTACGTTCACACTGTACACCTATGGAAGAGCTACCTGTGATGTGACGATGTAAAAAATTGCACACGCTTTGTTCAAGTGGGCCAACCCTCCCCCCGTCCTTACCATATGTGCTACTCCCACCTTGGAAGTTAGGGTGAGGAAGTAAAACCTCGTCCTGTTTCCTTCACGATAAGCACAACGGAGGAATTATGCGTGTGTGATCTTTCTGTGAAGGCAAAACTTAACTCACTTGTGTTGGCAATCCTTTTTGGGAAATTTTTGTGGGCAGACTGCGCCGTATGATTCGCTTCCAAATTCTGCGTGCAATTGCATGTGCGACATTTTGTGAAGGGGGTATAGCCTTCCCGCACACGTAAGGATAGGTATATGTAAAAGTACAAGCATGTACTTAATGTTTGGCCCCCCTTCCCTGAGATGGCCTCTTCAAAGACCATCCCTTATTCATGCGGAAGGATTTCTACAATGTGTACTCCTTGTGACCTCTTCTTTTAAGACATAATTGTCAGTGCTCCCCAAAGGGGGAACCAAAACTCCGCAAGTGCGTGCGACATCGGTGTGTGTGGGTCCACTTTTTCAGTTTCCCATTTTAATATTTTGCCTGAACAAGTCAGAACATTTCTGCAAAATGGGACAGAAAAAAAAAAAAAAAAAAAAAAAAAAATGGTTAGTTCTACAGCTAGATGGTCTTTTTAAAATGGGCCATGAACCCTTTCATCATTCCTCCACTGTGTGTAAATCTGTTTGTCTCTGGGGTCATTCCTTCGTCCCGCTCACACTTGGAGTGTTCTTTTGGAGTGCGTTTTTGGAGTGCTCTTTTTTTTAAGTTATTATATTTTCCATTTAGTGAGCTTACCACGTTACGTAGCCCACTTTTTTCTTGTGTGTAACTTTTTAACGTGATCCACAGTCCTGGACAGGGATGCTGGAAAATCACTGCAATTCCGTTAGACTCACGAGGGACGACATATAACGTAGCAAAGGGGAAGATTCCTACTCCACAAGCATGTGCTGTTTGCGTGTCACCCGAGTATCTATACAGCCAAGCGCTTCATTCCTTGTGTTCCCTTTGTAAAGGCTTCTTCTTTTTTTTTTTTTTTTGCCTAAACAAGTCACCATTTTTCGTGGCTCCCACGGGGGTACAACCTACCCAAGTAGGAAGAAAGAAGAGGCGCAGCACACCCAGCGTAGGGAACCATCCCACGACACAGCATAAGACAAGGCAACACGGCATATCTCAGCATAACTGAGAACAACACAGCATAACAGGACACACGTGACGGGCGACACGGCGCGGTAGGAAGACCGAATTTAACCCATCACGGACGAAATGAACCTAAACGTTACGATACGAGCAGGCCTGACCGGGTCAAGTAGCGAAACTAGCCAAAGTCGGTCTAAAAAATATGGTAGTAACGTGCTGCACAAATCGAAGCTAAAAAAAGACGTTTCAGAAAAGAGGAAAGGAAAAATCGTGGCAAAAAGATCCAAGAATCTGAGTCCAAAATTATCAGCTGGCATTTCTGTCTTACCTTCTGATAGAAGAAATAACTTAACTGTGCTGGAAGGAGTTCTTTCTGAGGTGGGGGATGGGGACAGCCACCAGGGGTGGAGGAAGTACGCACACAAGTTTGGCCTCCTGGGACGCCTCGTTTCGAAGAGGTACTCGGGGAGTGCCAGTTCAGGAGGAACACAGCACGGTGGAAGTTTAAGGGGAACAACACACAGCGGTAGCAACTCGCAACGGTCCGCGAAGAAAAGTACCCATCCAAAGCAGATTGGAAGCAAGTTGGTAAAACAAGACGCAAAAGCAAACACACAAGAGGAAGAAAAAAAAAAAAGCCACCTGACTAGTCAGCAAAAAAATATTCCTCCAAAAAAAAAAAAAGATTTCTACCAGTCCAACTTAAACACACCAACTGTTTCCACCGGAGGAAGGAAAAGCTACAAACTGAGTAAGCTACTAACACCACAGGAAAAGTTTGGAAAAAGAAAAAAAAATAAAGCTAGCCGAAATTTTCTGGGATTAAAAAAAGGGGTGAACATGGCTAAGGGGTCGAGTGGTAAGGCCTCCCAAAATGAGGCTTCGCTAAATGAGGATGCGCTAAATGGGGCCTCCCCGAATGGATTTCCCGTTGAGAAGACAGGCTCTGGGGAAACCCTCCAAGAGGGGGACTCCATCGATGAGGCGAAGCAGTTAGTCACTTCATCATCTTCGCTTGCGCAAGGGGACAGCGCGCAGGTAGGTCACCCCACAGGGAAGTCAATGGAAGACCAGGAAGATCCATCCAGAGAAGCACCACCCCTCCAGAGGTACACAGCAGAACCAAGCGATCCCTACTTCACCAAAGGGGAATACGACGCATCAAAGGATATACTTCGAGAGAAGACGTGTCTCTACGATGCAGGGACAGTCTCTGCTAGTTTACTGCCCGGTTACAAAGAAGTAAGCTTCGAGGGGATAGGGAAGGCTGAAGGGAACAAAGCATCTGCTACGGAGTCAAAGTCAGGCAGGGTACAAAGAAATGCCATGTACCTGCCGAACCGATTTTATAGTCATCACAACTTTAACCCAGTCAGAAGTGAGGGTGGTCAAGACGGGGCCTACTACATTAACGGGTTAAGTACGCTGGATGGTTCTCTCTTCACCTCGGTCGACCTGTCTCAAGGGACCATCCACAAGCAGTACAACATCGGGGTTACCTATCCTTATGGAGTTCCCTTTGTGGATGTGAAGAAGCGGGGTAGGAAGTGATGGGGGTGATGGCGGCGATGGCGATGATGGAGGGGGGGACATAGCACCCCTGGGCGGTCATCTTTCCCCTCATGTTGTCCCCGTAGAATGGAGGAGTCACGCGCGCTACCCCGCGTCGTACCAACAGACATGCGCATGTAGTTGTGTAGTTCTACTCACATCTGTGTAGCGTTTACCATGATGAGCTTTCTTTCTTTTTGTTTCGTTTTTTTTTTTTTTTCTTCCTTTCCTTCTTTTTTGTTTATTTCTTTTTTTTCTTCACCCCGTCCACACGTCCAAACGGGAAGTGGGGAGAGAAACAGGTGTTTACTTCCCCGACCTTTGCAAGCACGCATTTGAAGACAGCGTATTTTTAATTAAACCATTTTGTGAGCGTCCTCTCTCTTCGTTTGCAACGCACCTTGGGTTGGCCTTCACGGCAGGGAAAAAAAAAAAGAAAAAAAAAAAAAAAACAATACTTCTGCTTCTTTTTTTTCCCAACGGGTCATTTCTGCGACAGTGTTGCAGCGTTGCAATGTTGCAGTGTTTGCAGCTCGCCAGTTCGCCTTCTTAGCCGCATTCTGCAGAGCCGCACCGGTAGCGGATAGTTTACTCCCCCCGCCCTGGGGGGAAAAAAAAAAAAAAAAAAAAAAAAAAATCTGTAAAGATTCGCATTTGAAAGGGTATCTTAGCTCCAAACAAATTTGTAATTGAAAAGGGCATGGCCTCTTCCTCAATGACTCATCCGTTACAACGTCGAGCGGATATACACCTTCGAGAGAACACACTGGGAAGAGTATTTTTTTTTTTTTTTTTCGCCTCCTCTTGACGTGACTGTAGAGAGAACCCCACGTATTCCCCTCTCAAAATGTACTTCCGGCACTTTTACGACAATTTCAAGGAGGAGTATGCCTACCTCCGGGGGGAGGACGAATCTCTGCCACCCATCTTGACATGCAATCGGCCGAACAGTATAGTACTGCTGGGGGAGTAGCGGCTTCACTCACGTGGCGTCCCTACATGTCGGCCCGCTACATGTCCGCCTTCTACATGTCCGCCTTCTACATGTCCGCTTTCTACCTGTCCCCCCCTCTACATGTCGGGCCGATACATGTCTCCCCCTCCCCCCCGCGCAGGAAAACGACACCATCGTAAGGCGGATCCCCCAGAGCATATTGAAAGGCGTGGAGGAGCACAACGCAGAGTACACGAAGAAAAATCAAATAGACGTCAAGCTAGCCAAAATAAGAGAGATATTTACAAACGGACACAAACACACATACGAAATGTTACAGTGCCAGGAAGACCAACAGATCTGGGAATTCCTACTCTCCTATTTTATCCAAACAGGAACAAAAATCGTTAATAACTCGTGGCTTTTTAATGAATATTATTTTTACCGTTACCTGACCTGTTCATACGATTTTGAAAAAACTAATTATGATTTTTTTGATTACGAAAAAAAGGACTCCATAAAGTACAACAGACATTTTATTGAAAAAATATGTACATGTGCGAAGGAGTTACTGAACTTATACGATAGGAATGAAGAGAAAAACGTGTTTGCCATTTTTTTTTATTTCTCCTTATGGTCTAACCAGTTCGATCTCAGTTGGAACCCCACCAAAAATAAGGGGGAGCAACATAGGGTAGAAGAAACTGATATAAAGAAGAAGACTCTGCGGGAGAAGCAGTTCTACTTCGGCACGGAGGACGTGAACAAGCTCCACGACAGCATGTACTTGGACAAAATTCTTTGCAATCACATGGACACCCTGCACAGGGACATCACCTCGAAGGTAGGCGGCGCGGGGGTGTCTCTCGGATAAGCGGTTAACCGGTTAAGCTACTAACTTGCCAATTGGCTGACCCACTAATTGACTCTCCCCTTTGCCCCTCCCCTGCGGCAGCACTGGCCGCGATTCGACATCGTCCTGGATAACATGGGGCTGGAGTTTATCACGGACCTCTGCCTCCTACACTTGCTGAGTCGCTACTTCGACGAAGTGTATATTCACGTCAAGAAGTTTCCCCTCTTCGTGTCGGACACCATGGCCAAGGATATACACTACACGCTGGCATCCCTCAGTAGCGACGATAAGGTAAAACGGGGGGGAAGAAGAGAGCCGACATATGTGTTGCTCATCAAACGTTTCACGTCTCTCTGTGGAGCTCTCCCTGTGTGTGCTCCATCGATTGTCCATTTGGTTGTTTTGCTACTGTTTGCTACTTTTTCGCACTATCCCCCCCTTTTTTTTTTTTTTTTTTGAAGTACCCCAACACGGTGTTCATGGCGACCAAGTGGAAGGCGTTCCTGGAGACCCAGAAGTGGAAGATACGAGTGAGGAAGGCGCGATGACAACATTTACTGGAATGTTATCTTGGAATATCGCCAACAATATCGGTGACAGCGTTTGCTGGCATGCTCGCCTCAAATCTTGCTAACTTTCTACCATGTACCACTTCGCTTCTCTCCCCTCCCGCAGGCACATGTTTACTGGAACCTTCCCCTCCCCTATTGGGTGATGCCCAAGGATCTCGTGGAGGAATTAAAAAGAAGCTCCTTCGTCTGTTTCAAGGGGGACGCCAATTATCGCCGGTGCTTGGGTGACCTCAGCTTCAATTTCTGGCATCCCCACAAGGACGTTTTGGGATATTTCCCTATCGGGTTCATCGCCCTGCGATGTTTGAAGTCGCCCATCTGGTAGGTCTTCCAGTCAGCAGCACCACGTGGGCCTACGCCGATGGACACCGCACCCACCCTCCGGCACGAGAATTGTGCAATTGTCCAATTATTCACCATCCCTCCTTTTTTTTTTCTTTTTTTTCTTTTCTCCCTTCTGAGCAGCTGTGGCCTCCAGAGAGACGTCGTGGAGGAGCTGAACAGGAAGTCCCCGGACTGGTGCAACTACGGCGAGTAATGCGAAACGGACGGAAAGAAAACGAAAAAAAGAAAAAGAAAAGGAAACAAAAGAAAAGTAAAAAAAACAAAACCGAACGAAACAGATTAAATTAAATTGATCCGACGCGGGTCGAAAGGTACTCTGAATTAACCCCCCCCCGGCGACAAATTCTTTCCCCCCCCTGCTCAGGTACGCCATTCTGCAGTACTGCGATCCCGAGGGCTCCTCCGCCCAGTGAATTGGGCACAGGCCAAGAGGAAAACATGAAAAGGAGTTAAAGAGGAAAAAAAAGTTACTCAGCTAAAAGGGCACAGAAGGGAAAACACAAAACAGCAGTCCACACCCATGGATCGCAACATCGTCAACCCATTTTCGACGCGCCGAGCGACTGCTCCCCCCCACAGACACACTTATGAGTACGCTGTTACGACCACGTTGGCTGAGGGAGAAAGCGAAGTTGAAGTCTCCCCGGTATGTGCAAAACGGAAAAAAAAAAAAAAAAAAGAGAAGAAATCAACTTTGAACGACTGATGATTATTATTCCCCGCGAGAAAAGGTGCAGCCCAATTATCTGCGTTGATGGGATGTTCTTTTTCCAAGTTTTACAAAAAAAAATTTTTTTTTTTTCTGATTTTTTCAGATTTGTTCTGATTTTTTTCGAATTAAGAGCGCGTTTGCGAAGCACTCGATTGCCTTTTTCTGTCCGACTGGGCCGAGCTGTTCGTGTGTTTTTCCTGCGCGTGGGGGAGGAAGCGTGTGGCGATGTGTACCCGTTCAGTGCACACTACAGTTGGGAGTACACTTAGGAATAGGCTTATGAAGACACTTGTAAATACGCTTATGAATACGCTTGTGAATACACTTGTGAATACGCTTGTGAATACACTTGTGAATACGCTTGTGAATACGCTTGTGAATACGCTTGTGTAGGCAAACTTCCACTCAGCCTACATGTGAACACTCGCTCACCGCAGTCCGAGCGTACCTTTGAGGGAGACCTGCGATTCCGAGATGCCCAGAGCAGAAGATATGTTTCGAACTATTTCCTCGCGAATGCGACTTATCTTGGGAACTTCCGCAATGACGATGATGTCCACATTTGCGATGGCATAATTATTTTTATACAAAAGTAGTCTGGCATATCTTAAAAAGGAGAGTGACTTTTTATTTTTATATTTTTCTGAGTCATCAGGAAAGAGGGTTCCCAAGTCCGAACAACTCATGCCGCCAAGTAGGGCGTCCACTAATGCGTGAAAAATGACGTCCCCATCGCTGTGCGACAGGATGGAAATGTTATCCACTTGGACCCCCCCGATGGTCAGCCTTTTGAAGCTCTGCTTGTTGGCATCAGCGGAGGGGCTCGCGGTGGAGTCGGCGGTGATGTCTTCCAGGGGGCCGACCCGTATCTGGTGAATGTCGTAGCCCTGGCCTATTCTCACACCGTCGTACGGGCAGGGCAGTTCCAGCTTCGCCGCCGTCGTGGGCGTTGTTGTCAGCGTTGTTGTCTGCGTTGGCGTCGATTTTAAGGTGAATTCCAATTTTACGTCAAACTTTGACTCGAGTTTTTTTTTTTTTCTTTTCCACTGCCCGTGTATCTTCACTTCACGTATGTTTATTCCCGGACCAAGAAAGGAGCGTAGCACGTCGAGTTCTTTTTGGACACCTTTTTTTTTTCTCCTTGCGTCTGATGAAGCTAGCAGAATGATAATCAGGTAGGGAAGCAGCACTGCATAGGTGTAACGTATCGGTAACATCGTCTGGTTCGTAAAGGGTGCAGGGGTTAAAAGGGAAGTGCACAACAGGCGAAACTTACAAAAAAGAAAAAAAAAACACAAAAAACACAAAATAGCGGGTTATACGAGTGAACACCCCGGAAGGATAATCACCCAACGGAGTGGCAACTCGTTTTAGCAGAAAAGGCAAGCAAAACAGCAAACACATAAATAGTCGCAGGAGGTCATGCGTTATTAACTTTGCTTTTCATCTCACATACCACTGCTGCACTGCGGAGAAAAGTCTACTAAGTTGGATCGCGCAGTTGGAAAAATGTTACAATCTCAGCAACTATCACCTGGCACGGAAAAAATATGAGCAGGTCAGGCGATTTAGCCACGTTTGTGCACAAAAAAAAAATAAAAATATAATAAAATAGGATAAAATAAAACAAATAAAATAAATGAAAATAAAAGATGCAGGGAGGAGAGGGGCAAACTAATAAACTTGCGTGAAAACGTGCGTACAAAAATACAAACATAAAAACGTGCATAGAAACATACGTACTACCAAACAACCTCGCTCACCCGCGTCAACACTGCGAACGGCAGCCCTATATACTCGCCAATACAATGACAAATTACGCATCTCTTCGCAAAAAAAAGAAAAATCGTAATTCTCCCCCCAAATGAGAATTACCAAAGGGTATCAATGCCCAAGTTATTCCCACCCCCTGAACCCAAAACAACTGTCGTAGGAAATGTCGAAGTATAGAACCCCCCTCCCTCCGTACAATTTCAAAAGCAAAATAGAGAAAATCGACGAGGAGTTCCGCAGGACTGGCACTTTCAGAAGGATAAACAACCGCAAGAACAATGAAATCAGGGATATGTGTAAATTACTTTCTGCATACATGCTATGAGTTGGGGAGAGGACGACCTTAACCACGAGCCTCGCAAAAAAGGAAACATCGTGAAGATTGCCTACCCCCCCCACCACAAAATGGTGTGCTAAACTGTAATGAATTTTTCCGCATATTATCCAACCCGTCGTCCCACCATTTTTTTTTTTTTTTTTTTTTTTCAGTCATAAAACTGGGGGCCGATGGATATTCTGACGCGTCCTGTTTTTACTCCCTGGGAAACACCAAAATATTGGCACTGATGTAAATTTGGAAATATTCCGTGCAGCTAACCCTCTGCGAGCAGTTTTTTGTCTGTGCACATGTTCGTCGCGCACTTATGCTGCCTCTTCTAAACCTTTCTACACCTTTCTCCACCATTTCCATTTGGAAGATATGGACCCAAACCCGACTCCAAGAATGCAACATACGACAAGGGAAAGGTCTTTTTGGAAATCAGAAGTTTGAATATGAATGACGATAGGGCCAACGACAAGGTATTTTTCGCAGCCCATTCAGCGCGATCATTCACGAGAGCATTCACGCGTTTTTGTGCAGTCTAACGTACACCAGCTAGCTAATTTGCATTTTTTTTTTTTTTCTAATCTACCATTTTGCATGAACGTTCATAAGTTTCTGTCTGGTGTAACGTACATTAGCTAGCCAATTTGCACCTTTTTTTTTCTCTCCCCCCTACAATTACAGAGCGATGAAAATATAAAAAACCTGCTACTAGAATGCGTTTCGAGCGTTATTCTGCTGGATCAGTACCCTCAGTGCTCCATTAACATAAAGTGCCTAATCATTCAGAACGATGGAGGTAATTTGGAGGATCGCGAAATTGGCGCCCTTCACGTGTCCACTTGTGGGCAAAAATCGCCATTATGTGCCTGGGGAGGTTAAGCAAAAGCACCCCCTTAGGCATTATTCCGTAAATATAAACGGCCCACCTTCCCACCATCTCAACTCCCCCTCCCATCCTCATCTTCTTCCAACCTTTAAGGCTGTCTGAGTGCCACCCTGACGTGCATATCGCTTGCATTAATCAATGCTCAAATTAAAATGCGGGACATTATCGTTTCCATAAATGTGGTAAGATGAAGAAAAAAACAAAAAGGGGAAGTACCAAATATGGGCACACACTGCTGTGTTTATTGACTTAACGATAATATGATCTTTTTTTTCTTCTTTTTTTTTCTCCCCTTTCTGCAAGAATTCGATCATCTGCCCAAACACGAAGAGAGTGTTCCATCTGGTGGACGTTGACAGTTTGGTAGACATTTGAAATGGAGAGAGACTCCTTCGTTCTTGTGTGCGCCACATCTATGGTGAACGTTTTGGGCGCCCCACTGTTTAGCCTCGTCCTAATGTGTGTATAACGCTGTTCCCCTATGCAGGAGGAAAAGTACTACGGGGGGAAATACGACACGAACAGTATAACTCTGGGGATCTGTCTGAACCTTAGAACTGTGTGCTTCTTTCATGGGTCCGGGAACTCCTTTAACAGCAAAACGTTGTCTGAGGTAGGCAGGGCATTCCGAGAGGACTAATGTGCTCCTCTGCGAGGGGCTCATCGTACCAACGCGCATCACCGCGTGATTCTTTTTTGTTTACAAATTTAGAGGGGGTTATCCCGCACCCCCTTACATGTGTACAACCTCTCCCAAGGCACACCCATGCCAACCCTTCCCCTCTGTGTGCAGATTATCAGCTACGCCGAATGTGCGTGTAGATCCCTGGGGTGCGAAATAAAGACGGTATTAAAAAACTACATGGCGAAGAAGTACGAAATTTCGTGCGCCTAGGGGGAAAGGCAGAAGAAAACTAGCTTATCTCAATTTTCCTTATGGGGGTAGACAAATCTGTTGTGATTGCAAAGGGATTGGCGCATTCGAAAGGAGAAGTCTCACCCATGTGGTGTGCATGTACCTGCAGCTGCTTCGTGTAGGTGTCCAGATAACCCCGCTGCTCTTCCCCCCGCCCGGACCTGTCGCTTTAATAATAACACGTCGCAGGGGTACTGCCCAATTTGGTTTTCCAACTTGCTGAATTGAGCAAAGATTCATTTTTTTTTTTTTTTCCTTTTTTTTTACGCCCCACTTGGGTCTTTTTTTTTTTTTCGTATACAACACACCAGTCAACACATGACTCCAAATTTTGCCTCATCCAAAATTGACAAAATGATAAAGATGAACGTACAAATGAGTGTAGGTATGAACATACGCATAAATAGGTTGGCCCCTCGATGCCGATGTCCCACATTACGCCTTTGCGTGGGGATGCGGCTGCTGGCGTAATTGGGTTAAATGCTATTTTTCTTTCTGTTCAGGTGGACGAAAGGTACGATTACGAGGTTATTTTTTTCTTTTTTCTTTTCTTTTTTCTCTTCTTTTTTCTCTTCTTTTCTTTTTCTGCACTTCCTGGTGATGTCGGTTCGGCGAGGCCCCAACCCAGCGCATTTGCCGGTAGGGGTTACTCACAAAAAAGGGGTGATACGTTCGGAGGAGAAATGGCCAGCCGCTGGGTGACATGTTGCTAGTAAAATATGAATGCGCACGATGAGGAGACGATGTGTGTTGGCTGGGGCCTTTTTCTCTCGCGAGAGGGAAGAGTTTCCCCCCCATTGAAGTGTTTCCCCATTGAAGTCTTTCCTCATTGAAGTGTCTCCCCATGGGTGAGTCGAATGTGTTGAGGGAGAAAAAAAAAAACAAAAAAAAGAGAAAGCATGTATATACACGGGGCGGGTATGACCATTTATGCGTGCCTACCCGAACATATATTTGGGCGCCCTGTTCAGTCGCTTTGGGGAATGCACTGCCAGGCGAGTTGGCGCAAAAGAAAAAAAGTGGCACTTTTTTTTTTTTTTTCAATTCTTCGCAATTGTTGCAAGGTTTGTGCTTGCCTGAGTTTCGAGGCGTTCCTGCTGAGTTTTTATCACGTCGCTGTTACGTGGCTGTTACGTGGCTGTTACGTTGCTGTCACGTTGCTTCCATTTCGCTTATAATTGGCCAACCGTTTGATGATTTTTTTTTTTTTTCCCTCTTTCTCGTCGTCTTCTTTTTCTTCCCAAATTACCCGGCTGCTCTTCTCTTTCCCCAGGAGAGCGAAATCTCGTGAGTGGACTTCCCATTTTTTACTAGTTAATGCCAGCAGTTGCAACCCTTTCCCCCCTTGGACGATACTATGTGTAATCTCATCCATGGGAAAGTTGACCCCGTGACAGTTTTTTGTTTGTATGCCTCTGAACCACGTATCGCTGTTCGCGAAGCAGCATATAAAGGAGGAAGGTCAAAAAGAGAAAGGGAGAAATAGAAAAAAAATAACCTCATTGCAGAGTGAAACTTAAACGAAAGTAGCCCCCCCATTTGATGTCGTTCTGATAGCAAAAGCGCTGTGAGCACTGAGAGGTGAAAACCCCTGCAAGTTCCGCTGTTTTATGTGATGTCACGCCCCCAAAGAAGCGCAGCCTGATCAGTCCAAATTTGCTTCCTCCAGAGAGGCTCCAAAAAATCGGGCGAAGCGACAAAACGAGCAAAACGGGCAAAACGGGCAAAACGGGCAAAACGACCTCTCACTCATCTGATAAGTTCAATCTCGAAAATCCCCCTCGAATCACTCATTTAACCCCCCTAAAGAATGAACGATGAGGAGGAACGGATCTACATGTATTCTGACCTTTTCTCGCATCGTCTGAGCGGCGAAGAAAACAGCGATGCAGACGAAAGGGAAAAGAGGAAGAGCAAAAAAAAAAAAAAACAACTTAGCGAGAGTAACCTAAAGAATGGGGAAAATGAATACAGCAAACTGAGAGCTGAAAACTCAACCATTTTAAATGACTACTTCGATGTAGAACCGATTAGATGTCTTAACCGTGAGGTGATAGATGCGTCGTTACAGAGTGATTTTCTGCAATTTCCACAGAACAAGGAACACACATTGAATATCTTCGATGGGGAGCTCACCCAGAATAAGCACTCCGTTCAGTTGCGAAAGCCTGGATTTTACTGCATCTATGTGGAGAATAGTAACAACGTAAGTGGGAAGGAAAAAAGGAGCGCCTCTCCCCCTCGCACTGAACACCAACCACTATGCTGACCGATTCTAGGACGTATGGAATAGCCCACACTTTATGCACTCTCCCCCCCCCTCCGCAGAGCAAATGGGACAGCATCTACTTCGGGTTGTCCAAGATGCAGGTGGAACTGAACTACAAACTGATCCCGCAGAACGAGGACAAGGGCACCCAGGGGAAGGCCGAGGAGAGGAAGAAAAAGGCGACTCGGGAGAAGCAACATGGGAAGAAGCATACAGCGGATAACCAAAGGGAGAAGGAAGAGGAAGAAGCAGACGAAGCAGAAGTAGAAGCAGAAGAAGAGGCAGAAGCAGAATTAGACGAAGCAGAATTAGACGAAGCAGAAGAAGAATTAGACGAAGAAGTACCCGTGGAAGAAACCAATCTGAAGAGAGAGCCAATGATAGCAGAAAACTTCAACATAGATGACGAAATTAACAAAATCTGTAAATACAATTTTGATCAAACAGATATCCTATTTGAAGATTCAAAAAAAAGGAAGAACAGAAAAGATACAAGTCAGATTAAGGGGAGAAAAAAAAACTACTACGAGAATTTAGGGGTGAAGAATAATAGGAGAAAAAAGGAGTCTAGGTTGTTTGAAGAGAATAAGACAAACACGGAAAACATTTCGTGCACCTTTCACGATGAAAATCAGATAAGGGTTTCTTCGAAGAAGAAGAAATACGTTTATCTGTACAATGGAACTGCCAATAGCATGCTGCACGTGAATGTCAGCACTTGCATGTCCCTCGGAATGACCATCCAGTGCCGATACGGGTTGCTTTACTGCGGGAAGTACCACCAGATCCCGCAAGACCCGTATACTCCTTTTAGAAAACCGTAAGTCGAGGAGGATACCCGGGAGAGCGGCGGCACTTTGGGTGCGCTGCAAGGAGGTGCTTCCACGCGGGGGTCAGTGCCTACGAAGCACTACCCACTGGCTACCCACTGGCTACCCAGTGGCTACCCAGTCGCTACAGAGCGCTACCAACCGCTAATCCAACCGCTACCCCCCCCTTAGCGTGTCCATACTGTCCCTGGACGGAGGAGGCATCCTAGCCATGTCCACGCTGATCGTGCTGAACCGGATCGAAAATGAAATCAGGAAGGAGATCGGAAACGACGACGTGAAGCTGATTGACTGCTTTGACATGGTGTGCGGAACGAGTGCAGGTGGGATGATATCCCTGGCCCTCTTAAAAGAGATGGGGCTCCGAGACATCACCAATATGTTGCCAAGTACGATGAAGAAAATATTTGAAGGAAGCAGGAACCTCATTTCTGGCATCCTATTCGAAGGATACGATATCAATAATGTGAAAGATTTATTTATGGAGAAATTAGGAAGCATGTTTATGTCTTCCTATAAGGAAGTCTACTGCTTCGTCACGGCAACTGATGTCAAGCATAACCCATACAAGTTATTTCTCCTAAGGAACTACTCTCATAAGTATAACGCAATAAATGGAGAGTCTTATGAAGGGATCAATAAGGTTCCCTTGTGGCTAGCTGCCTGGGCAACTGCCTCAGCCCCGACGTATTTGAAAGGACCCAGTTCTGAAGACATAAAAGATCTCGGATTCCATATCAAGCCAGAGATACATCTCGTCGATGGAGCCTTGAAGGCCAGCAACCCTGCTCTTATCGCATTGGAAGAATGTGCCCGATTGAGTAACAAAAATCTCTCTGCCTTTATTAAAGAAGAACTCGATACGCTAGTCTCTATAGGGACAGGAAAGTATACGACGAAATTGACTCAATCAGGGACCAGCGGGAAATCGGCCTCCACGTTTGAAATATTACTTAATGGGGCTCACCTGCTAACTAGAGCGAATGAAACACATCGAGAAGTGCTGCAGTGGCTGTCGGAAAGACAGAATACGTATTTCCGATTTAACGTGCCCAACATTGGCGATATAAATATTGACAGCCAAGACGTGCGTGACTTTGACATCATCGCAAAGGCCACGCGCGACTACCTCTTCGACGAGAAATTCTACGAGATAAAGCGCCTGGCGCATAAGCTGGCAAACAACTACATGCGCTCCAGGTATCTATAGCGGGGCGGGGCGAGCCAATGCAGCGGCGAGGAGAGGCGCGGTACTGTTTCGTTGGTCCCACTTCACCGCTGCAGTGGCTCCCCTCTGCTCCTACAGGGTCTGATTTGTCCCCACCAGCTGTACCTCTCTCCATGGGCGTCTCACTCCGCTGCGTCTACCACCCGTTTGTTTTCCGAATTTGCAATTTATGTGATTTTTTTTATTTTTTTATTTTTTTTTTTATTTTCTTTATTTTTTTCATGTCAACGTGGAGGCCCCCTGCCCCGAGGGGAGTGTTTCTTTGTCAAATTGAGGGGAAAGCTCCTTTCCCCAATATTCTTTCTCTCATTTTTGCAGTCGCCTTTTTTTTTTTTGCTGCCCCTCCGCGCGTTTGGCTGCTTAGTGACATGTAGGAGCGCAGTGGGATGCGTTACTAGATATGTGTACTTCTTCTTCAATTTCATCGTCACTGTCATCTTGTTGTTGTAGCTGCTGCTGTTTTTTTTTTTTTTTTTTTTTTTCTTTTCCCCGATGCGAGTAGACCCACATGCACACACAATAAACCCACTCACCAGTGAAGAAGTAAACCGAACTGCTTCCTCTTTTCGCTGCCTGGGCGGAGGCGGCCCCAGTGAATACCTCGCGCAGTTGGGCGGGAACAGAGATAAAGACACATAGAGAGGGAGCATACACCGGAGACCTCTATTGACGTGCGCAGATCTTCCTCCTTCGCATTGTTTGAACTTCCCATGTGCAAACACGTAGGTTTAGCGCTGCATGGGTCTATCCACTAATCTGGCCATCGTGCCATCCAAACCGTTTGACTGCACAGCGAAGTGAACACCTGTGAAAGAAGCCCGAGGGGAGGGGGCTGACGAGGTGGAAAAAGTGACCATCAAGAAGGTCATCTTATCTGGGCACTGAGCTGACCATTAGACCCAGCTCCAAAGAAGAACCCGCGGCACCCCCCCCATATGGGTAGGCAAACCCAAAGCGAAAGTGCTAGAAAGGAAAATAAAAAAAAAATACGATTAATCCGGGGTGAAGTTACGATATGGGAGCCCCTTTAAGTGTGTTTTTCTGGAAAAGAAGTGTAGAAACGATCCATTTAAAATGGTCGTGGGGTTGCACTTGGTGGGGAGCGAGTCGACTGAGCAGGGATGCGCTGACCGCCTCGGCTGTGGTTGCAATTGCAGCTGCAGTTACAGTTGCAGCTGCGCAGGGCTTGGTGGAGCTTAGCGTATGGGAGTTCCACCCCGGTGAGAGCCGCAATATCTTTGGTTTCCACTCTGCTGGGCCTTATCACTTCGCCTTCCTGACCGTTTCGCCTCCTCACCGTTCACCTCCCGCGAAGGTGCGAACTGAAGGTGGCCTTGCTCAAGTCGACGTACCTTATGCGGATACGCGTCTTGGGGAGGGAATGGTCGACGTCAGGCTGGAAAATCACATTGATGATGTGGGTGACTTCAGTGGAGACACACTTGCAGGAGATGTTGTGCCCTTTGGTGTCCTGCTTAAAGGTCACGTACGATAGGCTGACGCCACGGGCGTTGTACTGAACGAAATCGAATTCGGCTTTCTCCGAAAGGTCGACGAGTTTCTTCTCTTTCATTTTATCAGTATTGTCATATACCGATTCGAAGCAATTCTGCGGAAGGACGTGAAATTTCCTTGGGCAAGCAAACCCAGCATAGCTATTGTTGCCAAAGGTGACAGAACATGTTTTACTCTCCTTCAAATTAGGGTCGAAGTTGTGGCTGAAAAGGTCCTTATACATGCCGCTAAAATCACAGCCACTGATTTCATTGTACCCTTCATGGACGCGAATAAAGATTTTGACAATACCTCCGTAAGTGACATTACCATTTACCGTTTTGGAGGTGAGTGAGTTATTGAATTCTAGAGAGAAGTTCACTTCTTTGGAAACATAAGGAGGGACTCTCAAGGTATGCTCAATAGTTTTGGTGACTGAGTTAAGTTTATTCGTGGTGATAGCTCCAGGGAGGAGTTCTTCAATGGGCGTAGGGATCCTCTTAAAGAGTACCTTGTCTTTTATATTAATTGGATTGACAAATATTTTTTCATAATCCTTCTTCTCATTTGTTGGATATTTTAAAATAAGTTTATCCCATCTTGATAAGTTCAATTGGTTGTGATACGTCGTGTTGTCTTTATCTTGGAGACTCTCCATCAATTCTACGACATTACACGTGGTGACATCTTTCACGCTGTCGTAGGAACAGGTTCCATTCTCGACTCGGCTCTCCTTTTCTTTCTTTAAGTAAATTTTATCAATCTTCATTTTTATTACGTCCCTATCACACATGCAATAGAAGTTTTTTTCCAATGTCTCCAGATCTTTCATATCTTTTGGGAGGATGAGATATGTGTAGGTATTCTTCTTATTGGAGAAATTGGACACAGGTATAGCTCCCTTAATGACGTTTGTAATTTGTTCCTTGGTTTGGTCGATATCATCTCTACCGACAGATGCTTCTTCCGAATCAGAGATAAAGTACGTCTCGTGGAAGCAGTTCTCTGGGTGGAGTTTTTCCGATGGACAGTTGATTCCGACGACGGTGTTGGGGATGAGGGAAATGTTACACATGTGGTCATCCGATTCTTCCTGTTTATTGATCAAAATGACTGAGTCGGGGTCCTCCTCCTTATCGTTTATAAAATCGCAGCCTTGAAGTTCTCTCCTGTTGGCAGAGACGTTTATATGTATCATTCCGAGGGACGTGTTCTTCCCTTTTGGTTTCTCCTCAGATGACTTTCCACAGAAGAGGTGAAATTGGAAGTCATTCTTCACATACGGTGGAATGAGGAATCGGACCACACCGTCTTTTATCAAGTCAGTTGTCTTCAATTCGTCGTTTACCTTACTTTGTAGATGCAGCACCCCTGGTAGGACATCTTCCAGTTTGGTTACCTTATTTGCTACGATTACGTGGTCTAGAACCCGTTTTGGATAATACACCTGTTTCTTGTCCCATCCTGCCTCTAACTTTCTCATATTTATGACTTCTTCGCTAGTCATACCGTAGTATTCCCTATCATAGATTTCTTTTAGGGAGAATGTCTTCTTCTTTGTCTTCTCCTCCGGGTATGTGACAAACTCTTCCTCACCTATGGTGATGGTTACCTTTTCCGTCTCTTCCTCTTCACTGACTGCGTCTTCCTTGTGCACGTGGTCGGGTATGGCTGGACATTTTATAGTTACCACATCTAAGGCTTGGGCATCGACAGTACATGTGTTCTTCTGTATCTTCCCTTCGATGGGAGTGAATAGAGAATCCTGAGAGAAGTCACACGTGTAGCTGATTCCTTGGGACAGCAGGTTGCTGCTGCATGTTCCGTCTTCTTTGCATCCCTCTAAATCTGCCGCTTCTGAATCTTCCATTGTATCTATCTCTTCAATGGGTTCCACTTCGTCTGCATCTATACTAATTTTATTTCTCAACGGGAGAAGCTTATTTTGGACAAAGGGGTCTTCCCGAATTTTGGGCTCCCCCTCGGAAGACGCATACTCCGTTTCGATGTCCATCGATCCGAACACCTTCTTCGTAGGACTGTAGCAGCTGCATGAGAATTTAATGGCGCTTCGAAATTTCATTGGAACCTTTGCATAGGAAGATGTGTAGTTGTTCTGATAATCTAGATGCATAGAACCCAAATGGAAGGTCTCAAAATTAAGCATTTCGGTGATGTTGGAGAATTCTGAGTATTTTTGCAAATCAGCCATTTTGGTGTCATCGTCTCCAATTAGATGTAACAAATCTTTTAATCGCATGTTCGTTTTGGTTTTCTCGGAGAAGTTGATTTCTTCATCGTTTCCTTCTTTTTCCTCATCTTCGACGTGAAGCTCCCCCTTGTAGTAATCCAGAGTAACGTTGGAGAAGCAGGCCTCCGGGTAGAGGTAGAATCCCTTAGGACAGGTGATGCCGAAAATGTCTCCTTTGGTTATCTTCACATTGCATACCTTTTCGTTATTCTTTGCGTCTAACTGAGCTAGAGAGTACTCACTAGATGTAAAATCACACATCTTGAGAGAACCAGGTTCTACATTCTTCCTGACGATGATGAAAATGATTCCTCTCTGCTTCTCGGTGGCGAGGAGCTTCGACTCTTTAATGACTATTTTGAAGTGTTTATTCTCAAACGTGGGAGGGATGAAGAAGCTGAACCCGATTCCCTTTTTCGAGTTCTTCTCGAAGGAGAAGACTCTATTTCCGTACACTCCCTTTAGAGCACTGGTTAGGGACACTTCACCTTTCTCATCATCAATAACTTTGATGTCTTTCCCTTCATCTAGTTGCGGGGTCGTAGAAAAATTTGTGTAGTCCCGGTCCAGGCGGCCACTTCCTATATTAGGCAGGATTACGACTACCTCGGAGAACAGCTCTGCATCGACTTTACATTGGACCGTCTTATCTGGGTTCTTCTTAAAGACGAGCTCGTCATCATCGAAGAAGTTGCAGAAGTTTACCTGACCGTGTTTCACTGCATCTGTCATTTTCATGTTTTCCAGTTCGACCTCATCTTTGTTCACCACTACGTTCATGGTTCCCTTTGTGTTGTCATCCGATTTATTGCAAGAACAGGAGAAATTTATCTTGTTCACATAGTCTAATGGGATTTTTCCATAGGATACTTTTGTCTTCGAGTTTGGTAGAGAGAATACCTGCACATCTGGGATGAGTTCCTCGATTTTTTTACTCTTCTCGGTCTTATCATGAACCTCGTGAAAGCACTTGACTGGATCAAAAGTATAATCATCGCTGCATCTAATGCCGAAGATTTCATTCTTCGTAACCTCCACTTCGCACTTTGTTTCTTGTCCAGTGGGAAGGTCAATGCCTTTACTCAAGATAGTGCTACCAGCAGAGGTGAAGTCACACCCTATGGTTTTTTTCTCACTTTTAGAGATATTCAAATGGATGATCCCTTTGTACCCTCCATTTTTTGCTCCATCTTTGTATGCACTATTATTGCACTCCACTTTAAAAAATTCGCTCCGAGATATAGTGGGTGGCACAATCAGAGCAGCGTAGGAGGTGAAGGGGTCGCTTTTCTTCAGCACCTTCAGAGATGTGTAGACTACACCTGGTAGGATTTTATCTATTTCTTCTTCCTCCTGGTCATCATCTTTCAGAACTTTCTTAAAAAATTCACTCGGCTTCATACTGACTGAGTCGAAGTATTTAACAAAAGAGGGATCGTCCATGGGAGAGGAACTGGCAAGATCAGCACCGGTGGCAGCATCCTCCAGGATAGTAATGATTCCCTTGTCCTCGTCATCATCTTTTTCTGCCGTTTTCCCCTTTGCAGTGGCGTAAGTTTCCTTCACCGTTGGGCACTTAACATACAGTGTGTCCAGTGGCTTCAGTGCAACGTTGCAGTGGAGCTCGGGTGGGGACTCCTCACTTAAAGGTTCCGGTAGGAGTAGGATCTTTTTCGAAAAGTCGCACACATACTGGTTGTCTTTAAGCTTCTTCGGCTCTATCAGTTTGGATGCCTTGAAATTGACCGTGAGGGTGTACAATTTGAAGTGAGATTTGTCAAGCGCTGATATTTCTTTCATTATCGTTTCTTCTAAGGAGTCGTCACTTACATTGGTATACACAGAGTAGTCGTCTCCCGAGATGTAGTTGTCTATTATTTGTGAAAGGGAACAAGTAGAAGCCATTCCATCATCATATGTTTCTGCGTTGGCTATTTCTTGGATTATCTCTTCCGGGTTGGCTTCATCCTCATATGGCTTCTTCTCATCCACCTTCTGGAAGATACTCATCAGTTTGTTTTTCTTATGAGCCAAGTATAGATCTAGGCCACTCATTAGGAATTTATTTTTTGCATCTCCTCTGGTGTAGCTGTCTCCTTTCTTTATGTCTATTTTCTGGTAAATGACATCGAGGAGCTTGTCGCTTGGAGGAGACTTCAACTGGTAGTCCTTCTGCAAATTCACACATATACATTTGAAAGAGAAGTCTTCCGTGATGACACTTGGTATTTGGATGTAATTAAATTTGTGCTTGTGTGTGTAGTTGGCGATGTTATTCTTCAGATGGAGCATCTCCGAGATGTTGGTGAGGTTATCATTCACAACTGCGTCTTTGAAGCAGCTAGTTATTTTGACTGAATCGGGGGGACATACGAACCCAATTACATCCTTCGGAACTGCATCTACCGAACAGTTATTTTCTGTAGGCTTGTTTAGGAAGATCTCCGATGTGTTGGGAGTAGTGAAGTCACATCCCTTGACTTTCTTACTCCTCTGTGGAACGGTAATCTCGTACGTCAACGAGCTTCCCCTCTTCTGCTCAAAGAACGTTTTGCTATTATCACATATAATATTAAATTTATGTTCTTCCTTAACATAGTAGGGGAAAAATAAATAAACATGAGAGAGGTCCACTTTTTCCTTGTCATTGGTAGTACTCTTCAGAGGGAGGATGCTTCTGGTATTGTGTAGGATCTCGGCGTGGGGAATGATTTTGTCGAGCGCCTCCTGGTTAAGCGTTTTTTCAGTGTCCTCCTTGGTTGGTGTCACCGTGGTGTAGTTCAGGCTTATATCCCGGTGGATGGAGAAATCTTTCGAGGGGCAGTAGAGCTCAACGTAGCTGTCTATCTCTTTCACCTCTACTTCGCATATATTCTTCACATAACGATCATCTAGCTTTTCCAGTTTAGGTTCAATGAGGGTCTTATTTGGGCACATATAGATTTTTCCATCTTCCTCATTCCCCTTCTCGGTTATGATTGCCTTCTTCTTCTCCGCTACGATAGCTGTCTTTTCATTGTCTCTGTCCCCAAGTACCTTCACATTCATGGAGTTCACCACATTATCTATTTTGCACTTGCAATAAAACTCCAACTTATCTTTAACTGGAACTGTGGGTATTTTTATAAATGACCTGGACTTTTTTTTCTTCCCATTTGAGTACACTAAAGCTCCTGGCAGGATGGTAGTGATGTCTTTCTTTTCGTGGGATTTGTTATAGACTTCTGTGAAGCATCCTTCCGGCTCTATGACTACGTTGGGGTCATCGGAGCTGTCCTCTTGGTCGGACTCCGGCACGTTCGTCTTGGAGCAGTTAAAACCAACTATGTCATTTGGGTAGGCTGTAATATCACACGTCTGCTCTGTGGATCCCACGTTGTTCGTGAAGTGGTCTATCTTTAGGCTGGAAAAGTTGCACCCCTTAACGATGTGTTCGCTTTTCGATAAGACTAACTCTACGATGCCTAGGTTGCCCTCATCATTCGTGTTGTTACATCCCATGAGCACATACAAAGGTTCGTCTGTGTCGATGTAGGGAGGTATCTGAACTTTCAAGTCGAAGAAGTTACCCTCAGATTGGTCTTCACTTATATCCAGGTTAGGTATTTGCTTCCTTAGGACGACTATCTCTTGTGCATCTAAGTAGGCGAGGAGTTTCACTAACCCTTCGGATGGAAGTGGAACTTCATCAAAGTAGGAAGAGTCTTTGTGATTCTTGAAGATGGAATTCTTTTTCAACTCCAGTTTGGCCACTCGGTTCAGAGGAAAGTTGAGCAAGGAAGGATAATCAGGGAGGTAGGTCCCATACTTATCGTGAAACTGGAGGTATTTTTTAAATAGCTGGTACTGTACCTCTAGTTGTACCTTCAGGACGTTTATATTTTTCGTCTCCGTTTCTTGCTTGAGCGTCTTTGGAATCATTTCTAGTTTTTCATAATTGCCCTTCTTCATTGGACACTTCATATGGAATGTATCAAATTCAGTTAACCTCTTCCTGCAGATGATAACCTTCTTCTCGTTTGGATCTGCCGTCTTGTCTAGCTTATCTTTAAAATCACATGTGTACTCTTTCTTCCCTTCTGTCTTCTCGGGAACTTGTATTACCTTCTTCACATTAGAAAACGATTCATACAGATCGAAAACGGAGAGGTTTATCTCCTGATTTATGCTGATATAGACCATGTGTTTTTTATCGCCTTCCTCTAAGTGTATGTGACAGAATAAGTGGATTTTATCTCGGAAACTGGATGGAATGCTAAAGTACTTTATTTTGAAGTACTTGGCCTCGAAGTCTTTATTGTAAACAACTGCGCTGTCTATGATTTCACTGAGACTTTTCTTCCCCTTGTCCAACTGCTGATTCGATGAGTGAGCAATCATTTGATCGAAACAGGTAGTCGATTTGGTTCCCTTAGGAAATCTAATCCCTCCTATCTCGCCAGCGCTTACATGAAACACACATGGGTGCTTCATGTCTTTATCTTTTTCATAATCGTAAGTAAAGAAGTGTTTTTTTTTTCCAGTGTAGTTGCATCCCTTAACGGATTGGCCATAGGGTTCTATCGAAATGGAGACAACTCCTCTGCCCCCTTTCTTATCGCTATCCTCAACTGACTTGCTATTGTCGCAGATGTAATATATCTTTTTTCTTTGTTTAAATACTGGAGGTAGGATGAATTCAATGGCTCCCTTTTCTAATTCGTTTTCCTTCTCGCTAACTTTTGGAGGTATGATAACCCCGTGTATGAGAACGGCTAGCTTTTTCTCCTTCAACAAGTCTTTCTCCGTCTCAGAATCTTCATTTTTGTTCACCAAAGTGACGTATGGAGCTTTCTTGGGGAAGTACTCCATCGAAGCATATTTATCTCCGTCTGAGGATTTCGTTGGACACACAATCTTTACCTTGACGAGGGGTTCTTGGATCTTCATTTCGCAGATCACTGCCTTTTTTGGGCTCTCTTTCGGGGATAAGCGTGCCTGAAAATCGCACACGTACTCTTTGTTCGTGCTGCTAGATTGAAAGGTTTCAACGTCTTCATCAGCTTCTTTTAATTTTTCATCATTCCCTTTTATTGTCCCCTCGAACCCTTCCTCCACCTTGTCAAAGGTCTCATCCGAAGCATCTGAAACGTCAAACACAAGGCTCTCATCATCTTCTGGTGCCAAATCCTCTTCTAAGTCCATTCCTTTGATCTGGTAATCTTCGTCCTCTCCCTTGAGGGACGACTTGCTCTGATATGGATCCTCCTCCCCCGCAGCGTTTTCATCTTTTTCTTCCTCTTCCTCCGCCGCCTCCTCATTATCATCCTGCTGCTCCTCCTCCTGCTGCTCCTCCTCCCCGTCGTCATCATCGTCACCGCCATTCTCGCTGTCATCCTCCCCATCATCCTCGCTGTCATCCTCCCCATCATCCTCCCCGTCATCCTCTTCATCATCGTTGTCGTCGTCTTCTGCCAAATGTCTGGCTACCCTCCTCGTGGATAACTTCCCCATGGGGGACACTCCAAACAATTCATGCGCAATGATTACTATATCATTGTTCCAGAATTTTGCCTGACTATGTAGATGATTTGTTACCATTTTTATGGCACCACTTGGCTTATACTCTCTTATAGCTGAGTCTTCCCCAAGTGGGAATCTTCCAAGATAATACCCTTTCACACCCCTTCTCCTGTCTTGACTTTTGAGGAGAAGTAAAAGGGAGTGGTTCTCATTTGAGTCGTTCCTCTCACCGTAGTGCACTCCTTTGGGGGAGAACCTTCCCTTGGTTATGCCTCCGAAGGGGTCTCTCCCTAAGACATATGGATCGGCATTTCGCCTGACGCACCTTCCCTCGTCGCCCTTTCCATCGGTTACCCACCCAGAGGAATGCACCCTTCCTTTAGAGGTGACTCCCGCCCGTCCGTCATTATTCTGCGCAAGGATGATTTGGACAAGAGGGAGCAGAAGAAGGAGCCTTTTTAACTTAGCGAGCTTCCCCATTTAGGACGCGCGGAGGGTGACACATGGGGTGGTGAGGGGTAGTGAGCGGCGCTGAGCGGTGGAGCGTGTCCAATGGAGTGTCCAACGGAGTGTCCAACGGAGTGTCAAAGTGCGTATCCAAGATTTCTATGTGTGTGTGTATGTGCTGGGGGGGAAGGGGCGGACAACTGAATGGAAAAAATCCCCCAATGCGCTAGTGAACGATGATGCGGGAAAATTACAGAGATGCAGGCTGAATTATGACAGGCGCATTGTCGAATTAACGTCACATTGGCATCGTGTAGGTATCCCTCATCCCCAGTAAAGGTGAGAAAGAGATTAGAGAAACACAAAAATAAATAAATAAAAAGAATATCACGCCATGGCGTGGTCGAACGTGGTTTTTTATTCACCTTGTTTAGTTATTATTACTTTTTTTTTTTTTTTTTCGATTCTTGCTTTATCTTACCATTTTTGTGTCCCCAAGAGACGTCGGCCCCCCTGTCATCCTCTTTTTTTCCTTCATCTCTCGCGTGATGGTATAAATAACTGCCATTGAGAAGTGAATCCATCGTCTACAGGCTACGCATTACGCTAATTCAGCATACACACACAAAGGGACGCTTGTGAAGTATGTGCGTACTGGCGTGTCTGAGAAGTTTTTTTTTTTAAGCGAGCGATTAAATGTTCTTTACGCGTGTGTGTGTGTGTTTTTTTTTTTTTTTTTTTTGACCTGTCTAGGGGTTCCTTCCTTATCTTTTGATTACTACGTTTGGTAGGGAGTATCCATCTATATATATATCTATCCATGTATATTTATCTATGTGTGTGTGCGTGTAGTGCCCTTTCTAGGCCTTTCCACAGTTCGATAATGGAGACACAGAGAGGCAAGAGGCAGAGGGGAAGAGCTACTCGCGACTGCACAAGGGAGGGACATACCTCCAACGAATGGTGTTTTCCTCTCCCCGAGGACACACCACTGTGAGCATTCCTATTTGATTACTTCTCGAGCCACCGAGGGACGATGTCGTTCCGGAAAAAAAGGGGGGAGTCTACAAATGGTAAAGGGATCCCCCATGAGGATTTTTCCCCCCAACTGAGCCTGTCCCGTAATGAGAAGAAGAAAAGAAGCATCACTACATGTGCATACTTGTATGGACCCTTTTTCGTGATGACTGTTTGGGGTGTTTCACCAGAGGAACCATTTCACATCGCTTTGATGCGGTGATCGGGTTTTATTCTTCCACATCGCGATGGGGAGGTCCTCCCTGGGGTAAGTCTCTCTCTCTACGTCTCTTTATCTCTTCCTCTGTCTCTATCTCTGTGTCTCTCCCATCGCCCACCAGAAGGTACCCCTTTGAATTTGCTCCTCTCCGCTCTTCCAATCATTCGTGCTCCCTCTCAAGGGCGCAATTCATTTTCGACGCAAAGAATTAGACGCTGTGTACTCCGATGGAGTGGTGTCAGTTATAGAAAAATGGTTTGGGCGCAGATGAAACGTGGGAGCACATGAAACGTGGGAGCAGATGCAAGGTGAGAACAGTTGCAAAGTGGGAGCATATGCAAAGTGAGAGCAGCCAAAAAGGGCGCACATCCGTGACATATAGACACTTGCACTGATTGTGCGTTCTCCCAGTGCCCTGGCAAACCCTTGCAAACGCTGTTAACAAAAAAGGCGCAAAGGAAAAGACAAAGGGAATTTTCGCATTTTTAAAAAAGATTAAAAAGAGTGGAAGAGGAGGGAGGGGGCGTGGAGGTGATCCGTTCGCTAAAGAGAAGCAGGTTGGTCGCTAATCAGCAGACTGGCCGCTAAACAGAAGAAGGTTCCCCCCCATCAGTGCTGCACGGAGGGCAGTCGCAGGTCTACATCGCTGTACTGAATGACCGCGCCGCCAAGGTTCTTTCTGGGCGTCCCCATGACATACGGCTCGTAGTTAATTTTGATGGTGACCTCTTTGTAGTCACCTTTGGCAGAATCGTAGCACTTGCAGGAAAAGTGGCTAGCGAAAATGTGCTTCACCTGGATGAAGGAAAGAATCGGTTTGTTCCTCTCTTTGTAGATGAACATATTAACTGCTTCTATTAGAGAATCCTTTTTGTGAATCATGTTATCTTTAATGACACTATCGAAGCAATCTGATGGGTACAACTTGGTGTGTGAAGGGCAGGCTAACCCTACTATGGAGTCATCCTCCACTTGTACTTCGCACACGTAATTTTTCGGGACGAATTCCCACTTCTGGCTGAAGTAAAAATGAGTAGAGTAATCACCAACAAAATCACACCCATATATATTCACATAGTTTGGCTTCACGACAACTTTAACGATCCCGGTTTTCCCTCTTCTACTTTCATTCAATGTCAGCGAATTGTCGCAGGAAATGAAAAACTTCGCTTCGTTCAGAAGGAGAGGAGAAAAATGAATCGTCCCCGCATAGGTATTTTCATTGATTTCTTTTTCGTGATGAACAAACTCTATAACGTCGTTTATGTTTTTTATTGTTAGGATTTCTTTTTTTCTTTTCTGTTCCTCTTTCTGATCATTGGGATGATCGAATTTTTCTGCATCTTCGATTGTTGCTTTGGGTCTCTCTGTCTTTAGGACGACGATTATTTTGTTCCCCATCTCGTCGTAGTCGACCTTCATTTCGTTTTTATCTCTATCCTTTTCGTTTTCTCTTTTCTTCGGTCCATCTGCATCTTCATCGCTATTTAGAGAGTCTTTTGTTTTTCCCTGCACCAGATCCGTGACCATCTTTTCTTTCTCCGCTTCGGTTAGCTCATCTTTGGTGGCATGCTTTTCGATGACATAGACATACTCGAAGAAATTTTCTGGGCTGATTTTGGACTGCCTGAAGTGTTGGGCATTCCTCAAGGGGCACACAACCTTCACGGAGCTGAATTCCGATGTCGCTACGGTGATTTCGTGCACCTGTTTTGTGCGCATTGGGTTTAACACGTTTTCTTCCTCCACTTCGTCGTCGTCGTCCTCCTCATCGTCCTCCGCTTCATCCTCGTCTTCTTCCCCCTCCTCTTCTTCATCTCCTAGCGCGAGGAGCTCCACATTTCTGCTTCCAAACCCCGGTGTTGCTACTACGCCTTGTAGATTATGGCGACTTCCCTTGGCTCGCTTCCCCATGGGGAGAGCATCTATATCGAGTACGTTCTCAGAGCTGATGTTGAGTGGCCCAGAGGAGAAGTCGTAAAAGTAGCTACCCCGTTCGTACGCGAAGATATTGTGAGTGATCTCTTTCTTAAACCAATTATTCAAATCGTCCCCGATGATGTTAATCTGGATGATTCCCGTTTTTATGAGCTTCACCGAGTTGCATGTGCAGAAGATTTTCATCGATTTGGGTATTTTTTTCGGAAGGATGATGTAAGTCGGGGTAAAATTAACATCATATATTTTATTTTTAAGAATCTGGACTCCTTTGAGTAGCTTCTCTAGCTTGTGTGTCTCTAGTTCTTTGTCTACCCCCTCTATCTGCACCGACTCGAAGCAATTTTCAGGGGCAGTGAGGAAGTTATGCGGGCAGCTGAACCCAACGACGTCGTTCTCTATCGCTTCAATGTTACAGTATATGTTTTTCCCCTCCACGAGTTCGATCTCGAATTCGAAGGAGTTGTTCCTGTATGTAGTGGTAACATCGCCTGTTTCTTTTGCTCTAGATCTGGGTGGATGCACCTGTTTGGTAACATCTGAAGGGTCTATAAAATCGCAGCCCAGAATTTTGTTGTTATTTTTTTTTACAAATATGGAAGCATAACCGATGACGCGATTGACTCCGTCTTGTCCCATACTCTCGCAGGAGAAACTTAGATTCTTCGACGAGTCAGCATAGGGAGATATAATAAGTTCGAGTTCTCCTCTATCGAAAAAGGAAACGTTCTGTTCCTCTGTTTTGTTAACAATGATGGTACCGAAGAGGAGGTTATTCAATCCTTTTACCATAGAGATGGGGTCGTTACCCAGACTGGACGCGTATATCAGACGAGGTGCACTAAGTTGTGGTTCCTTAGAAGGGAGGCCTTCCTCACTAGAAGGGAGACTTCCCTTCCTGGAGGGACACTTAATCGCAAATTTGTCAAAGGCACTCAAGTCGATGTTGCACTTGTAGACGAGGGTATGGTCGGGGTAGTCCTCCACCTTGGGGGGATTGTCCCGATAATGCTGGATCTGTTTCTTAACATATTCGATATACTGCTTCTTCATGATTTCCTTTCTCAGTTTAAAATTCAAACTGAAGTGTGTGAATTCATCGCGTTGGTAGGAGAGAATATCCTGCAAATATTTACTCAACAGTTTCTCCATGTCTACACTTGACCGATTCACAATGTTGTAATGGCGATCACTAAAGTCACAAACATAAGTCTCTTTGGTATAATATGGGGGCACATCAAGAACGAGCCTCTTTTCCGAGGCGTACTTGTCTTTAGATGTGGAAGATGGGTTCTGGGGCAGGTTAAGGAATATAGTGCCCACATTCTTACTATCGTAATCCTCACAGGTGCAGTAAAAGTTAAGGTCCCTCGTATTGCTCATCTTCGATATGATCAAAAAAGCAGACGAATTTTTCAACAGATAATTCGTATTAATCACTTTCACATCGTTAAAGATGTTTTCCACGTTTTCTATGTTTTCCTGATCCATAGTGCTCTTTATATATACATTGTGGAAGCAGTTGTTTGGATTGATTTTTCCATTTGGACAATTCAAACTGACGATGATGTTTTCCTTTAACCCGATGTGGCACTCCTTATCCGAGTTGGTTAGAGAATGCACCTCGGAATAGTAAAATGTCTTATTAGAATTTCCAGAGAAGTCGCACCCGTAGAACCTTTTGTTTGTTACTCGCTTGGGTATTTTTACAACAATGACTCCCTTTTTTCCCTTTTTATTCCCGATAACCGTTTCGGAGTTATCACAGGAGAGTTTTATGACTATGTCGTTTTGGACTATCAGCGGGGTGATGAATGTGAATCTTCCCTTTTCTCCGAACTTTTTACTTCGATCGAGGATTATCGTTCCTGGGAGGATGTCTTGCAGCTTTTTTTTTTCGCTCATGTGGACTACGTCTTCGAACTCTTCCGGCACATATTTGATCTGCTTGTATTTGCTGAGCTCTTCCTCGCTGAGGGGTTCATCCTCCGCAGGGAGGGCCCCGTTGAGCCCATGTCCGGTCATCACTCCAGCGGTACCAGCAATACGGCTACTACTAACCAGTCCGACACTTGCAGCACTGCGCATTCCGCGCATAGCGCCGAAGCGGTCGGAGGCAGGCGGATTGACGTTCCTCGGGCAGCGTACTTCCACGAGGCTGAGGTTCTCCTCCAGATCGACGAAGCAGGAGTTTATGGCGAGCAACTCGTCCTGGGGAGCCAAGGAGCTATCCTCCCTGGTAAAATCACAGATGTGTTTCTTTCTCATTATTGGCGTGGGCCTCTTATCGACGAATTCGTTCCCTATGAGGAAGTCTGACTCGTAGAGCTGGTCTATTTTCTGTACATTAGTGACGCCCCTATTGGAGACATTCAGCTCGATGTTAATTTTGTTCTCCTTCTTCGGAGCTGCAACCAACCCGGCTACCTCCGATGGTGGCGGTTCCTCATTGCAGTAGCAGAAGATGTTCAGGTAACCGACAAAGCTTTGTGGGATCTTCAAATAAGAGACACCCTTATCATTGGTGAAGTTTCTGAAATCCTTATCGTAGCTGCTGAGCTGAAGAAGTGCATCGGAGCTATTATACGCTGTTTGGAAACACCCCGGGGGGGTCAAATATAACTTGCTCTGAATTGGACAAATTATTCCTATGTATTCAATTTCGCCATTACTCTGCACAACGCAGTCCTGGTTAGAACCCACTTTTATCTGGTTCTTCAAAATGCTGTTTTCTTCCTTATTCTTGTAGAAGTGGCATCCGTGAACTTTCATCCCTTCCGTCCTGAGATGGACGGACATAATGCCGTTGTTTCCTGTGTTGCCCATCTTTTTCGTCTTATCATTAATGCATGCGAATTCGATGATGGCATTTCGTTTTATGTAAGGTGGGAGCTGGAAGATAAAGAGTCCCTCGTGAATACTATTCGGGAGTCCCAAATGACTGGCATACATTTTATTAATTTCGTCATCTTCGTCTGGTGGTAGGGAAGGGTCTTCCATCCCTGCAACTGTCTTCTTCATTCTAGCTATCTTGATATTAACCGTATCTTTGACTAGAACCCCTGGGATCATTTCATCAATGTGTTTTACGCTTTGCATGTAACGATTGATTACGTAGGAGGGGGCTTCTTTCGGCAGGTGAAAGGACATAGAGTAGTTGTTTCTCTTCTTTCCGAAGGCCCTTATTTGTTCCTTTATTCCTGGATTTTCATATTTGTAAAGCAGATCGGAGAGGATTTTTTCATTCTCTTCATCGATAAGATTGGTAGGACAGTTCATGGCGATATAATCCATCGGCTTGGGAAAGACATCACAGATATAGTTTACTGGCTTCTTCCTCGTCGGCTTAAGGACTGAATTATTTCCCAAAAAATCGCAAAGGTGAGTCTTCATCGGGTGTGATATCACCGATTCGTACGGTACTTTGGGGATGGGATTGTAATCATACACTTGGTCCTCATTTATGTAATTTACTGTCACTCTCTTCTCTATCTTATTGTGGTTACTCTCCTGGACGCAGAAGCACTCCACCGAGTAAGACCTCGTGAGGTTGCTAGTGAAGGCGGCTAGGGAAATCTTGGGGTCTTTATAAGAGTATATAACGATATTTTTCGCGAAGAGATCTTCTAATCGGTAGAGATATCCGAGGTAGTACATTTCGACAAAACAATAACTAGGCTTCTTCACAGTTGCATCTGGGCATCTAAATCCAAAGGTGCTATTCGAAGTGACGTTAATTTCGCAGGTGTCCCCTCTGATGTATGTATTCAGATAATCATATAATCTGGAGCTTTTAAAATCGCAGAAGGAGACTGTCTTATCCTTCAAATTGGTTTTTACGTAGAGGAGAATATTCGCCTTCTGGAAGGTATCCTTCGCTTTATTAGGAATGACACATTCGATGATGAGGGGATGCGGGCCATGGTTAATGTAGGCTGTCATGAAGTACTTGTAGTCTGGAAATTTCCAGCGTACGTTTTCTATGTCTACATCTTTGGAGAAAAAGGTGATATCGCTGAAATCTTCCAGAGGATGGGTCTCATTTAGATACTTCACCGTTTTTACTGGATCTTCCGACTGAAGCTGCCCACTCTCCATCGTCTCGCAGTTGTACACAAAGAGAGAGAACTCGTTGATCGTCCTTTCGCACACCTGTGTGGAGTTTTTCTTCTCCTCATCATATTCAAAGTGGCAAATTTTGTAGGGAACTCCATTAAAGTATTGGAACTCTCTCCTGTCTGGTTCTATCAAATACATATCCGTCAATGGACTGATGTCGTCTTCTCCAAACGTGGCCGTCTTCTTCTTCCCCTTGTAAGTGAAGGAGCAGGAAAAAGAAAACTCGTCTCCAACGTTTTTCTTATTGAGGTAAAAATACCGAAGCTTAAATTCGGGTCTATCCAAAATTAAGCACCTAGAGAATTGGTACTCAACTTCTAGCGAAAGTTTCTTATCTCCATAATAAACCACTTTGAAGCAATTTTCTGGATCTAGTTCTGCATCTGCCAATTTTAACCCTATGACTCTGTTGTTATAGGTTCCAAATTCATACTCATCGACATCCTCGTCTACTATTTGTTCGAAAATCTCTCTATCCTTGGGGTCTGTGCTCAGGCCTACTATTTTTTCATTACTACGTGGAATTCGAATACGGATCTTAATCACGTCCTCAAAAGGGTACGTCTCATTTATTTCTGTGTTGGCACATCTAATTACAATGTCGGCAGCGAATTTGGCAAATGGAGGTGCAAAGAACTCAATCATCCCAGTGGACATGACATTCTTCATTCCCCAGCTAGGCTCTTCTGCATAAAATAAAAGAGGGTAATCCCTCTTCGTCACTATTTCTCCTTCTTCGTCTTTTATGATTTTGTAGAGGGCATCACTAGGCTGGGTAATGATGTGCGAGAAATTTAGAGTCGGCTTGAAGCATATGATTACAATCCTCTGTAGTGTATTAGTATTACCTACATAGATTTCATTTTTTCCGTTATCTCTCTTCTTTCCCTTAACGAAGTACTCAAACAGGTTTACCACTGTGTAGTTCGCTTCTGCCTTACTAACGTATGACACTAAATCTTTGTTCGGCTCATCGTCTGCCAGTTTCCTTACCTTGTTCATGTTTATTTTGTGTAACAGTTCTGTATGATTTTCCTTCCTCCTCCCATCTTCATTGGCATTTCCGTTTTTTCTACACCCAATTTGGAGAAACAAACAGAGGGCATTTCTTTCGCCGCTCCCTCTCCATACATCTGTGACGTAGCTGTACAGGTCACTCCCCACTGGGTCGCTTCCCCAACCGAGCAGCCGCTTGACGCCACCGTAGCTGGCCAGGAAGGCCACGAGCAGCGCTCCGTACAACAGCAGGCCACTCACCGCCCTGGCCGTGCTCATCGGGTGGGTTCGGCGGGTTGGAGCGGTGAGCGGTTTTTCTCCTCCCTTGGGGGTTACCCCTTAACGTTTTCACTAAGGCGGTGTCTAAGGCGGTCTCTATGGATGTCTCTATGGATGTCTCTATGGATGTCTTTAGCTTTGCCCCTAATTTTTACCCTATTTCTTAGGCTAATTTTTACCCTATTTCTTACGCTAATTTTTGCCCAAATTTTTTCCCTATTTTTTCCCCTACTTTTTCCTCTATTTTTTCCCCTAATTTCCCCTTTGCTTTCTCTTCTTCGCTGTCTGCACGTAAGCCGAAGCAGCTGCTAGCACATGCGACTCTGCCTTGGTGCTCCTTCGTCGCCGAGTTCGTTGTGCCTCCCTCGGTTATTCTGGCCTGTCTACCGTAAGGGTTCACTCCTTCGTTCGTGCATCATTGGTTTCGCCCCTTAGCCGATTGAACCCGATATTTGTCTCTTTTTTTTTTTTTTTTTTATAATTTCCCTTTTTTGAGGGGTTCGTTTTATATGCACAGCATATGAGACTGACCTTTGAAATTTTCACCTACACGCGAAGGTAGATGACTTTGCATCTTAGCACCACCCAGGGGTTAAGAAGCGATCGAAAAGGTGCTCTTTCTAATGCCAGTATTGGCTAGCTCTTCCAATCAAACCGTTAGATACACACACACACTGTGCGTTACGGGTCATGGCTACTTCTACACATGTGGAACGAGGGAGAAAAAAAAAATTAGGAAAAAAAAAGGAAAAAAAGAAGAAAAATAAAAAAGAGGGAAAAAAAAGGAAAAAATAAAGGAACAAGAAATCTACATTCTTTCCAGCTCGGTTGCCTGTCTCTCACGCTTCTATCGGTATGCCTATTGTACACACTCCTATCCACAAGGGGCACCCCCCCTGTCTTGTGAATGATGCGGTTTTATTACCCTTAATAGGGGCACTGCCGAGGGGAAGGAAAGCTGCACCGTGGGGGATTTATTTCTCCCTGCTTCCTTCTGCGTGGGGCCCGTAGTCTTTGCGCCCCATTTTGGGCTGCACTTTGATGTTCCTTCTCTCCCTCCACTTTGCTGCTAACCATTTGGAGGGTTCCAAAATTGGAGAAGGCCCCCTTGTGGAAGCTACCAGTTGTTATCACAAAAAAATGGTCTCACGAGCACACTCGCATGTATACACAGTGGGCACAAGCCATGTCGGCGATCGGACACCTTCCACGTCTCCCCTCTGCTCTCAGCGCAGTGGGAGTGTAAAGGTTGCCAAAGTGGAAGCCAAATTTTATGAACAAAAAAAAAAAAATGAGAAAAAAAAAGAACAAAAGGCTGACGAATAAAACGCCAAACTGGTGTCGCAAATTTACAGATGTGCATCCGAAGTGATAACTTCTGAGCTGTGCGGGGACTTTCTATCCACTGGGGGTCCCCCCTCTCATTTGCCCTGCCCCCTGCTGCATACTCTCCGTGAAGTGCTTCGATATAGACATGGATAAGAAAAATATGGCCACATAAATCCAGTACTTTCGAATAAAAGATTTCGGCTTCTCCTTCTCAGCTTGCTCATTCGGCTTGGCCTTTGGTTTGGCAACATTCTCCTCCGTTTTCAAGTCAGCAATGGTGATGGGCACAGACACGGACAGAACTTTAACGGCCAGCATGCCACAGAATATCTGCGTGTCTTCTTCCAACTCTTCACTCGTTCTGTAGTTTAAAATGTAAGGCAAGTAGTTATTATTTAATCCTATAAGTAGGAAAAAGTCATCGACGTTCTGAATTTTCTTCTTTCCTACATATGTTTGTATGCACGTCTTCTCATCTGCGTCGTCACATAATTGAAATAGGACGTAGTCAAAATTTGGTCTCTTTAACTGCTCAATCAATTTATCCTTTTCTTGTTCATAGCCATTTGAGGTGTTGAGAATTTGATTTTTGTTCAGTACAAAGTGTCCTAGTTTATTCCATTTTGCGTTGTCCCCTGGGTGGGTGTTTATTTGATAATTCAGTTCGATTACGTTTTTATTGCACAGTACGAGTGTTAGGAGTAGCATCACCTGTGAGAGGGGCGCGAGGAGTCTGAGTCCCATCTTCCTCGTGCTTTCTCCGTTTCTGTGCCTTTGCTTGAAGTAGGTCCTAGTGGGATTATCTCTTCTCTGTTGAACCTTTTTAGTAAGAAAGGGGATCTTCTTGCCAGTGGTGGCCGCGACACAGATGAAGTGATGCAAACGGGCACCCCCCAAATGTGCCCCACACGTGTCACCAGCGTGAGGAACAGGACGAAGATACACGTGGCATCGATACTCTTGAGGAGAAAAAAGAAGGCGTCGCCAATTGTAAGCAATTCTTTACCTCCACTGCTCAGAAAAAACAACCATGCAATGTATCATTGTATGCAAAAGTGGGGATAAAAAAAAAAAAAAAAAAAAAAAAAAAAAAAAAAAAAAAAAAAAAACAGCCAAAATGAAACTTCATATACGGCCTACTTCTGTTCATATTTCACCCGAACCGTTCAGAAAGAATTGCCAAAAAAATGTGAACATTGACGCGGAAAAAAAAAAAAAAAAAAAAAAAAAACGAAGCAAACATCACGTGTTCACGTGTTGCAATAGCTTCGTGTATCAACAGTATAGGAGATCCCTTGAGGGGCACGTCGAAATTATTCTTCTCCCCAAAAAAAGATATGCCCCATTTCTGCGTGTACAGATTAACATCATGAGAAGGTGTATATAGTATATACAACATGACGGACGGTGGAGCAGCGCTCTTTTTCACTGTGAACGCATTTTAAAGGGCAGGTAGAGAGTTACATTGTATAATGCAACTCCTTCTTGAAGGAAGGAAGAAACGGATTAGCGTGCTTCTCACCCGCTCCCCCTACATTGACGTGATAAATATAGAAGCATATCATATAAATAAACCCTTCATATGCAGGAAGCAAGCCCATGAGGATGTTTCGCGGAACGAAGAAGAAAAAATCTATTTACAAATTTGCTCACATTTCACCCGCGTCAAAAGTAGAGTGCTAATATGGCCCAAAACCCATGGTATGTTCAAAAGTCCAAGGCACTAAGAACGAGCAAATTGGGGAAGATCATCAACAAGTTCAATCAGGGTAAGGCCTTCCACGCGCTTCCACGCACTTGCACGGAGCACCCACGCAGATGTCATTTCACTCTCACAAGGCATTCGTGCCACCTACGATTGGTCCGTTATCCAATTTTTGCCCGCACCTAACTGTGCCCTTACACATATATGCTATAACTCTCTCCCGGCTTTCCCCCTTCCTGTTTTGCCCTTCCTCCAGAGTACGACCACTTGATGTACATGTCCAAATTTATGAACATAAAAAATACGCTGGACAGAATCTACGATAATTCAGAACTGATAATAAACAAAAAAACGTTCAGCATTGTTCGGATAAGGTAAACACCTTGCGCTCTCCATAGGAATGTAGTAACTCTCGTGTGTGCATGCATTTATACATTCCTCTTTCTGTGCAAGGGTTCGAAGCGTTACATTTGATTCCGCCGCCGCCTCGCCATCCCCCTTTGACCGCCCCTTCTGATCACCCCCCTTTTTTGTGCCATTCTCTCCTAAGCTGTGTGGCCCACTTGCAACCGAGATTCTTGAACAATGTAAAGGACGGCCTGAGCGTCTACCTTTCAAACTTTATGCTGAAGTAATGAGGAGAATTAGCGTCCCTACGTGGAGAGCCTTCCGGAGCTGCGCAGATGTCTCGTATGAGGATGATGTACTGCAAGGTCATCTGCTCACATGTGTTGCACTTGTACCTTTTGCGTCTTTTTTCCTACCCGCAGGGCCAACCACGACGTGGAGGGATTTACCATATGCTTCAACAGCATCAAGCTGAAGGAGAAGGAGGCCAAAGTTATCAATGGCGACGCGTCCGTGATGTTCTTCAAGATAACCTTCAATCTTCTGCTTCTCGTGCTGAAGGAGGACTACCGGATAAGTAAGCCGTCCACCGGGCTAGGGACAAAGAAGCAAAAAGGCGAAGAAGCAAAAAAGCAAAAAAAGAAAGACAAACACGCAAAGCACTAAATGTGTAAGCCCAGCTGAGCAACCGTACGATATTGTGACCCTCGTCGGAAACGCACTCACAACGGCTGCCACTTACCCTTTTTCCCTCCTTCCAGAAGTCCAGATTAACAAAATAGAGCCCCTAAAGATTCACCTGGACGTTTTTGGGATCATCGAAGCTACCTTCGCGGAGGAGCTATTTAAGAAATTCTCCTACAATTCGAGAAATGTAACAATTCGAGGCACCTTAACTGGGCGTTCTTCCGTCGGGAGAGGAGTCTCACTCACGTCTGCTTCGAACCTGACTCTCCGTGTTCTGTCCCACCCATCACCTAGGACTACCCCCTAGCACGCGCAGACTCAAATGCTAACGAAAACGCTAATACTAAGGCAACATCTTAGCCTTCATACAAATGGGGGCCCTTTTTTTCACCCACATCTGATGTGTTAACCTTTTTGTGCTGCACCTGACAATAGCCCTGCGCTTAGTTGCATTAACAGGTGGTTATAGGTTAACATTACGTATATGTTCCTACACCTGTGTCGCTTCCCCATTCCCCTGTGCCCCTCCTGTCGCAGAATACCTTCATAAAGGACAACAAGACTTATTCCCTCAACGATATTATTAACTTCACGATAAAGAAGTATGCTAAGGGGAGAGAGAGAAAATAATGCGAGAAATATGGGCTTGTCCCCCAGGAGGGCAACACCATTTCGCTACTCCATTTCGCCACTTAATCTGACTGCGCCCCTTAACCTGCTTCCACCCCACCCGTTCAGCGTTACCTATTCAGCGTGCGGCTCGAATGTGAAGCTCATTGGATGCATTTAGGACAGCACGGAGGAGACGCGACTGTCCCCACTCGATCCACCTATTGTTTTAGTAACCCCGTAATAGTGACTAGCCAAATGTGTTCACGATTGGGTATAACCCATGGCGTCGCTTTTTTTTTTCCAAAAATTTTTTCATTTTCACACTTTTTACCATGTGCGAATGACTCCGCTCAATCGCGTGTTTGTGTATTTGTTTAAAAACTAAAAAGAACAATAACAGAAAAAAAGAAAAAAAAAAAGTTATCAAATTAGGGACAACCTTTCGAATGTCCCCAGGTGGGAGCAGTGAGTGGCCATGCGAACCAGGGTTAAGACCACATAACACCGCTCAGCACCGCTCAACACCCCTTAACACAGCTTAACCATATCAGCGGAGCTCGTTGAGGATGGCTTCAATCCGCTTGCGCGTCTGGTCGTGGAGACTCTGTATCTGGTTCTTCTGCACAAAGTAAATGTCCTTCCCAATTCGACCACGCATCTTCTCCAGCTTGGCCAAAATCTGCTTCCTGACATTGCGTAACGTCCCCTTGGAGTCCTCAATTTTTTCCTTTATTTTTATTCTAATTTCGTTCTTTAGATTTTCCGACAGAGGGGGGACAAGTGCATACACCGACCTGTCCTTAACGTAGAACTTCAGTTCTTTATATTCCTTCACGAAGTGATTGTATATGAAGTTAACGTAGTAGGGATCGTATGGAGTGATGATGAATAAATTCTCTTTCTTCTTGATGTGACTTATGTGTTTAATTACCATGGTCTTATCATTTATTTTTATTTTTTCATTTTCAAACATAGTGTTGGATATGTTGTTCAGATTAAATCGGTAGGACTCCTTCTTGATGTAGTTATACACGTTGTCCATTTTTTCTGCGCATGTTTTGTTTAGAGTGTCTAGATCTTCTTCTGTGATGGGTTCTTCCTCCTGTTCGTCCTCCTCATCGGGGGAGGTGTCTTCCATTGAAGAGGCATCTTCCGTAAGGGGGTCCTCACTGGAGAGGAGTTCCTCTTCCGTGTCGCTGCCGAGTTTAGCACCGTCCGCTTGCCGCTTCTGCTGCTCCTCCTCTTTCAAGCTAGCCTTTATTTTGATATTATTGCGCAGGTACAGGTCTGCCGTTTTGCTTTTTTCCCCCGATGGGCCCTTTGGCATGGCACCCGCGTGCTTTTTCTGAGTGTTTCTTTCTTGTCCTGCGCGAGAGTTAGAGGTGCCTTTGCGTTTCGCCCCTCCACCTTCGTCCTCATCATCCTCATCGTCATGCTCGTCTGGCTCATTCCCCGTGAGTGACATTTGCCTGTTTAGAATTTCCCGCACCTGGAGTAACGCCTCTTTGTCTTTTCCCTTCTTCTTCCCATGTGCATACATCGTGTTGTGATTCTTCCTCTGTGTGTGGCTTCCATTTTTAGTGTACATAACGGTGTTGCCCCTCTTCGTGAAGTTATTCCTTCGCGGATGTTCGTCAGAGAGACCCTTCTTTGCGCTGTCCCTTCGAGTTAGAAATGCTTCTAACTTGGATGTGCGTCTTAAACTGAACCCGTGACAGAGCGTCGTGGTGGTAATGTTCCAAAGGGGAGCCATCAGGAGGAGGTAACATAGCACGGTCTTTGAGAGGCTGCTCCTTTTGGACAGTGCCATTTGGAAAGATGTGGGGGGCATCTTCAAATGGGTTCTTTTCGCATTGCATGTGTTGTTACTCCTGATGGTAGTGTTAACGAGGGGGTATTTTCCACTCCTACATGCCCTGTCCCAACCGACACAGAGGTGACGTCACTCTGGTGGGAGCTTCAACTTCGTCGGATATACATGCACATGTTAATGCTCCTTCGTTTTGCAACGTGCTTCCCCTTTGCAACGCGCTTCCGCTCTGCTGTACCTTTTGAGAAGCATTTTCGCCTGTCATTGCTCCTACCTTGGGCAGCCAACTTGCATTTGCCACTTCTCCGCCGGGATTTAAGAAAGAGAAAAAAAAGGGGAGTAGTCGAGTAAGTTCGCCATGGGGAGAATTACCCTCGGGTCAGGAATCCCCCCCAGTGGCTCGTTATCCCCTTTTATATTTTCACAATTTTGCCAATTCTGCCAATTTTCTCTTTTTTTTTTTTTCTTCTTTTCCGTAAACGAGTTGGGAGCGAGTTCGAAGAAAATATAAAAGGCTCACACTTAACCTATTAATCTGCGCACAGTGCTGACAATGAGGAGTGCAAATGTTTATGTCACTCTGGCTACCTGTGTTGTGTTCCTCGTTTGAGTGAAACGACCTCGCCTCTTCCCCTTTCGCGAAAAAAGGGAAAAAAAAATGTGAAGTGATTTCGCGCAAGTGTGGAGGGAGATAACTTTCCTTGTCGAGGTAACCACGTGAGGAAAGAGAAACCCGGGGGGAGCGAAGCAGAAGGAACGGAATAGGAAGAAGTGCCGAACATCTCATCATGCCACTTAGCATTGTTCTTGCAAGGGTCGCTGCCCCCTTCCACAAACACGTTAACTAGTTCGAGGTTAGCACAATGATAGGCTTGGTTAGACCGTGCGCATGGCTCCTCGGGGGCAGGAAAAGCGTAGCAGCTTGGTCACGGGGGAAAAAGATACACACCTGGATGCTTCTCCCAGCGTGACAATGGATGTGTCTCCTCCAGGAAGGAACCACCACATGGTGAATCACACTGCGATGTATAAGCCAGGAGGGATTTTATCTATATCTTATTTTTCTATTTTTTTATTTATTATTATTTTTTTTTTTCTAGTTTGCGAATGAATAGAGAAAAATGTTCACAATAAAAAGGAGAGTCAAATGTTGGAAGCAACTCAGTGCGTGGCCAAACGGTTGGTGCCTCTCTGGGTGTGGTGGTGAAATGGAGCAGGTGTCCAAGTGGCATAAGTAGGAAAACAGCTGGGTTTCTTTCTGATGATTTTTCCCTTCCTCCTGCCGCTGCTGCTTCTCCTACTCCATTTTCTCCGTTTTGCCCCGTTTTTCAAGTCTACTTCGCCCGGGTGTACACCCTGAGATTACCCCTCAGGCCGTCTTCATTTTGACCAGTGCGGTGAAGCACCTGGGAATACCTGCCAAATAGTTTCTTTCTGGACATCTTCACACATCCGATTTTTTATTCTTCTCAATAAAGTCAATCGCATCCTGCACAGTGCTTATCTTCAATGCATCTTGGTCCGAGATGGTTATGTTGAATTGTTCCTCAAGTGCCATGATGAGCTCAACTAAGTCCAGGCTGTCCGCCCCTAGGTCCTGAATTGGAGTGGTAGTGTGGTCGCAACAATGGGGGGGCACTAAACTGTGTAAAATGGACATTCCCACATTGATACCCCTAAACCGAGGATGTATTACTCAGGAACACACCTTGGTAAAATTTGACTCCATTTGTATTTTGTCTTCCTCCACTGACAGCTGCTTAGAAATCACTTTCTTGATTTCGTCAAATGTGCTTCCCAGAGACCAGGTATAACCTCTTTTTCCCTCCGTGCCGTTATCATTTTTGATTTTCCTGTAGTTTAGGCAGCCTTTCCGGTTGCCCGTTTCTTGGCACAGCCGGTTGTTCCCCGAGTGTCGGAAAGCTGCAGGGGGGGGGGAGTAGCGATGTGATAGAAGGGGCCGTGGGGGTAGCGGCAGTTATGGAATCAGCGGTGAGGGGGGCATTTACACTCCCCCCCCAGTAGGTACCCAGTGGGGACTCAGTCGAGTGAAACTCCCCCCCAAAAGGTAAAACGCAACACTCACGTAATGCTTACCGAACACGCCGCATACGAGAACGAACCAAAGCGGTATGGCCTTCATCATAGTTGTGTCGGGGTAGTGCAAAACAGGGGACTGTCCTTTGTCCTTGCTTAATTTTTTTTCTTCCCTTTTTATTTTGTTCGATGGACATACAGTTGCTCTCTCAGCACGCTCGCTTAGCACTCTCGCCTCCTTTCGAGTTGCTGAACTTGGTTGTCCTCCTTTATCAACCGTTTGGTGTAGTTCCCACCGGGGCACTCACAAGTGTATCGGCGTGCGGGAAGCGAAGTGCCCACTTGTGAGCATCCCTAATGAGTAGTGACTCGCGAAGGATGGAACGGTCGATTCGTATGTGCTGTGAGGAATTGGAAGAAAAAAAAGAGAGAAAAAAAAAAAATTGACACAAGGTCGAAAGGAATAGAGTAACACTTCCTAATTTTCCTCCTCAGGGAGGATGATCCAAATTGGGTGTTATGAGCAGTTGCGGCGGGTGTGGGAAGTCCTGTGCAAGATGTAAATTCTATGCCTCGGTCGACGGTTTTGCCCGGTGTGTAGAGGCAGCGCATTCTGAGGGAGCGACCTACTCACCGTGGGGGCGAACCGCTGGGGAAAACAGGAAAACGCGACACCTCGCCGTAGGTACACAGATAGGGGCACACCGGGAATACACATATATGTGATGTAGGCCTGCTTCTATATTCACACAGAAGTGAGTGTTAACCCCTTCTATTCCCCCTCTTCGTGAGTAGTTCCAATGTGGTTGAGCACTCTGTGGCTGTTACAAAGTAGGCTTCTTTTCTTTTTCTCTCTTGAGGATGCAGCGGGTGTTGCCTTCAGTTAACCTCTATTCGATGGAATGTGCTTTCTCTCTTTTTTTTTTTTTTTTTTT